TAATAGTTTCCTGAAGCGTAATATTTTAACTTAGAGAAATCGGAGGAAGCTGGAGAAGGAGAGACCACAAACTAAACAGGGCGGAGCGAAGAGAGACATCATGAAAAGTCACTGTAATGTGGGGCCATCTGTCCAGTCTAGATTTAACTAGTTCAGCTATCTTACATAAGGAGATGAAAAATTAAGTTAGTGCTAGAAGTTCTAACTAGTGATAGAAGTTCTAGACGTAGTGCTAGTGCTAGAAGTAGATGTGCTAGAAGTTCAACTAAGCACAGTGCTAGCTTGAGATTTTCCGCTGCAGTCTTCTTTTCTTGAATTGCTCAACAAACGTAAGTAATCTGTTCACAACACCTTTAATTTTGTTAAAGTCCATTTCTGAGAGTTCTTGAACTCAGACGCTCTCTCTACGGCCTTTCATGGTTTTCAACTGGTCGCGAGAAATTTGGCGTACTTTCTGCTTCTCGAGATTTCTGCAAAGCAATAAGAGGATGGAATTATGGTTACAGCTAACATAGTGGTCAATAACCTATATTCAGTTTCAATACAATTCTTGATACAAATTACCTCGATAACTCAATGTTAAATGCACGTGCTCCTGTATTTTTAATTTTCCGACACAGCTTTCTCTTAAAATTTGTTTCGCGCTGCATTGCAGGGAAAATACAACAATTTTAATTACAGATCTACAAAAATTATCTAAGTAAATACAAAATTCATAACAATATGATAAATTTCGTGAGGCTTGTACTAATTTAGCTGCCTAAGTAAAACGACTTTTATCCAATTATCAGCTACATGCATCTTCCTGCTGATCATGCAGTTTCTTAATGAGCAATAATGAATTTATTTTTCTCCAACAAGTGAACCATCTAACAGTTGATATGGAATTCTCTCATTTTTCGAATGAATGAAGAAAGCTCTAGAAAGAAAAACATTTCTCAGTTTTATAGCTTGAAACCATTCTATACAAAATAAACTTATAATCGACGTTTAAATAATCGATGTCTTTCGATTTTCTGTACTTTTTTTTGCGCTTCCTTAAGATATTTCTGTTTTTTATTGACTCTTCATTAAATTGTAGAGTAATTAGCATTTTTTTTGGGAGCAGGAGATGTGAAAAACGTGTAATGCCCTCGCCTGGGATCGAACCTGGACCTCCCGAATACGCATCGAGGGTGCTATCGTTACACCACGAAGGAATGTTGGAGGGAGAAACTACCTTATATAATGGAGGAGACATGAAAACGTGCAGTGCCCTCGCCGGGACTCGAACTTTGACCTCTCAAATACGCGCCGAATTTGCTACCGTTACACCAGGAAGAATGCTGGGGGGGGAGGAGAAAATGTCTCATAAATTATAATTCCTAGTTTAAATGAATTGCACAATTCTGTTTGGGGAAATTCTCAGTTTAGGTGTAGTCTTTTTATAGCTGCCTTCTGTAGCATGTATTTTCGACATGCTACAGAAACATGCTAACCACGCAACAGATTTAAAAAAAAAAAAAATGCTTCTTTATGTAATTTATTCACATTTCAAAATTAATTTTCTAGACAGTAGGAATATTGCCTTTCGTCTGTTTAGTCAGTCTGCCACTTCATGATTACAAAGCAGGACTAATGCTTTCTTTGCTTTTCATTCAGCATACTGCTAATACTTCCTATCAGCTGTTATTCCAGAGGGTTGTTTTTGTTTGTTTCTAGATAAGGAAAGTTTGCCCTTCTGAAGTCCAGTGCGACAAAGAGCTCTGAAAACAATGTCTCACAGGTATAGTGACCTGGGAGTAGGAAAATTTTGGTCAAATCCTTTTTAACGTGAATGATAAAGTCACGGTCCACAATATACTCGTATTAAATGAAGGAACTACGAAAGGCGTTGATAGATACAAGTAATATATTCCGGCGCTGAAGAATAAATCTGTTGCCAATTTGGATTTAATAAGTAGCGGACAGGAATTTAATGAATGGCGATTTTTTATTGATTAGTATGCATTTGTTATGGTTCCTAGAAATGAGAACGTAATAAGCGGTTGAGTTTATTAATCATTTGACGTCATACATATTCACGTTGATAATGACTCACTTCTGTTTCAGACAGGCTAAACTATCGCTTTTTAATCTTTTTGAAATTAAAATCAACTATTTTAAATTTGAAACTACTTTAAATAAATGATTTAACTGAACAAGTAAAGAAACTAGAGTTTGGATATTTACAATAGCATTTGATTACTAAATCGAGAAATTAATATTTTGTATTAGTAGTCAAATACCTTTATGTGCGGTTAATTTAATTCCTTTTTGTTAAGTATCGGTATTACTTAACTTAATTTTGCAGTAATTAATTTTTTATTTTCGTATATAATACTGAAAACATGATAAATTGAAATTGAAACAAAACAAAACAAATTGAAAAAACAAAACAAATTGAAAAATTTGAATTTTAGAGAATATATTTAATTTTATTATATTTAATGTTTTAAATCTTTTTAAGTTGCTGGTCTGCCTGTGAATCACTGTAACTGCTTCGGCTCTTGTAGATCACATCAAAAATTCCATTATGTTATGTTACGGAATTGTAAATAAGCTGCATTTTATGTATTTTAAACAGAATTTCCAGTTTAAAACGCTTAAAAACTAAACGGAAGTTAAACTAAAAAATAAAAGAGAATGGAGTTAAAAAATGAATTATTATTTCTCAGCTATGGATTGTTAAAAGTAAATTATAACTGGAAATGATCTTAATTTATAAGTCAAACAACAAAAATCAGCGTTATATTTGCAAATTTTCACAGGACTAGTTTTGATGGTTTTACCGATCCATCATCCTTAGTTGCTAAAGTACAAATGAACGAGATAAGATATAGTAATAAGATAAGAATGGCTGGACGGAAGTTAAGCTACTGGCGCCGTGAGTTGATGAAACAAGAAAATTAAAACATAATTTCTCTTCCTTAAAAGGCCTTCCTTAATAATTTCGGAATTAGGGTCGTTAACTGGAACTATACCTTGTTCTAGTTAACTTAACTTATTCTACCTTAACTTGTTCTAGTTAAGTTAAGATGGATTGGAATTAGGGTCGTTAACTAGAACAAGAGGTCAATTCCAGTCCATCTTTACCTTCAGCCTTTAAGGAAATTATGTTTTAGTTTTCTTGTTTCATCAATGGATGGCGCCAGTAGCTTAACTCCTGTCCAGGCAGTCTTATGTTAATACTATAGTTACAAAGTACAAATATCTCGTTTATTTGTACTTTATCAGCTGAGGATGATGGTTTGGAAAACCATCGAAACTAGTCCTGTGAAAATTTGCGAATATAAAGCTGATTCTTGTTGTTTGACTTCTAAATTAATATTTGTTCGGCGTGTTATTTTATTTTTAAAAAGATCTATTTGGTATTTATTTTAAAATATAAAATTTCTGTATTATTTCTAGGTCATTGGAATGACAACAAAAATTCTTGTTGGAGATCTGAAGAATTATCTGCGGAATTCGTTAGAGACTTTTATGCTTCGCCGAATAGCTCATGCATACTGCGGAGTCCGCCGAAGGAGAATTTGGATGACGGAACAGTTTCATGATGCGAACAGTGGTCTGCGTGCATTTCAGCAAGAAGTAATCCATATACCTAATGCAGGCGTGACTGAAATTTTGTACGCTATCTGGTGCAGAAGACATCTTACTCTCAGTCTCATCGACTATCTGTTTCAAGCACTGTCACTGCTGTTTTGGTGTGTGCCTTATAATACTTTAAGATTTATGTACGTTATTGTTCACCTGTTTATTGTTAAAACGCTTTTATAATGTTTTTACACACTTTAAGGCATCAGAAGTGGTGTAGAGCGATTAAACTGCCATGCTGTTTGACACGAAGGATATGTTTCAGATATCGATGCATGTGATACCGAAGAAACTTTACTCCTTGCTAAATCCAGAAATGAGAATTCAGTATGTGATTTAAGAATAAGTACGATTTCAGTATAAATATCTTAGACACACATAATACACCTATACAATCTTCGGATTGATTGTAAATTGAAATCTGAAGGAAACAAGTTTATCGTTCATTAATTTGCATTTAATTTCATGCAACAGTTCCTCAGGGTATTCGTAGAACTTAACTGGGTACTAAAGTATTATCCCATCAACCTTGAAACTTTCGTCAGGCAATGCGATTTAGCCAGTCATGGATGTGTTTCCGTATCGTGCGATTTTTCGCCAATTTACTGCTTTTGACAAACCTCTGCGACTAAAATTTGCGTGTATGCGATTTTGCGAAACTTTTGCTACTCTGTCATATCTTATGTTACTTTTAGAGACTTTAAAAAACTTTTAATAGCTCGTAAAACGTTTATATGTTAAAATAATGTATCTGATAAACTAAATTTATAGTAAACCAATATTAAATGTTATTTAGACTTAAAAAGAATTTGGCATCTCGCAATGCTGAGATCATGCAGTAGGTGCAAACAGTTTTCAGGGCCAGTGGCTGTTGTTTTTTTATGTGCTTGATTTATTAATTTATTTTAAAAATTAAAATAAACTATGCAGCTGTAAGAAGAGCATTTTCTAGAGTCGCATCGACCAAAAATAAACATCGAAAGGAATAGAATGAATTTGAAACTCCTAGATTCCGTACTTCGAATGAAGATACCTTTGGAGCTTTGGAATTTTCATAAGGAAATTCCATTTAAAAAAAGTTCACATTAAGTAACAAAGGACCACTTTTATATATTTATTTAGTATATACGTCAATAATTTTTATGTATGAACTTATAGAGCAAATGGTATATTGTATTAATAGATAGGGAAATTCAGTAAAGCAATAGTAAAACATGCACGATAACGGTTCAATAGAGAGGAGAACAGAGTTAAATGATGACAGTTTTCCAGTTTAAAATGAATACAATTTACCTCATTTTTTGATTTATCAGGTAAAATTATTTTATTTATATTTTGGCACTTATCTTTACGACATGAATATTAAATAAGACAGAACTCATATACAGAAGCAATTTTATTATTTTTTTTTAATTCAAGTCCTTTTCTTCGTAACAGGGAAATTCATTTTTCCCTGCTAAATTTATTTTTAACATCACAACAATTTTTTATTCTCAAAAAACTCTTGAATCACAAATTAATGTTAAATATATCGTCCAAATGAAACATCAAGAATTGTAAGGGAATTCACAGAAGCTCCCAAATACTGTGGTTGAGCAGATTTGATGTCCTCCCATACACAAGCACACAGAAGTTGCTTCAATGCAGTCCACCTTTGGCTTCATTTCACGCCAACCACAATTTGGTCGTATTATATAATTGTTTGAGTACTGTTAGGTGATATATATTTACATACCACAACTTGAAGATTGATATAACCATAATATAAACTATATACGTGTTAATTTTAGACGAGTTTTCAGGATTGATGACACGTACACAAGTTTTTGAAATCTCAATAACTCATTAGACGGGTACTTTGTGTAGTAGCTTCATTGCGAATTTTACCGTTTAGTGCAGTTAAAACTCATTCGTTTATATTCTATTTAAAGTTAAAAAACTGCAATTTATTGTAGAATTTTTTGTTTCTCAGTGTTCTTATTCAGCTGCAACTTCTATTTGGGTATGAGTGGACGATCCTGTACAATTCGTAGATACACAGTATCTATTTTGTATACATCTTTCGAAAAAATTTCAAGCATTGCCTCTTTTCGTATTTTACTTAAGAAATAAAATTAAGGAAATGTAAAAAAAAAGTAAGAAATATTTTATGAATTACATTTGCAGTATAATTAGCTTTAATTTCAACACAAAGATTAATAAATGTGTTTAAAAAAATACGTGATCGTTTTTCAGAAAGTCAGTTTAACTAGTTTTAAAGAGCACGTGCATATACTTAGGTTTAAGATATTTTACCCTTTTTTAACCTTCTCACGTTTACATTAACAAACCCCACGGTTGCTGAGCACTATTCATGACTCATAATAGTAGTAAAAAGTGAATATTTAAGAGGGAATTATTGGTAAATGCCGCTCGCTGGAAGCTATGTTTTTAAGTCTTCTGCCAAAATCAATGTTTCGTGACATCTGTCATTTGTTTTGATACGTCTTTTAATTTTTAGGTTAACCGAATTATTACAAATTATAGCTGTTCTTCTAACTTCATCCACCTATCGAAATGAATTGTTTTATGTCTGGTGAACACCTATGCATTGTAAAAGTAAAATGAAAATAAGGAGAGTCTTCAAGGAAAGATAGAGTTGCTAGTGTACAGTTCTTGATGGGTGAAAAGAAAAAGGAAAAGTTACAGGAAAGTTCAATTATGTTAGGTGCAAAACAGTTTAAGTGAAAGAGAATGACCGGGATGAAGAATTTGGAGACGTGCTTCCGAAAAGAGTTGTCGAGGTGAATCGTATGGCTAATGTTGATACTTTGAAAACACAAAACTGTGGACGCAGGTGCAAAGATTATGAAGAAAAACTTGGAAACTTAGACATATTCCTCTTAGCAGAAGAAATACCACAGAAGTAATAAACATAGCCTTTGCTAATGTTTCTCCCGAAATGCTGGATACTACGTTTCTGTCACTTGAATAAGTTATGCTAGAAGCAATTAAGAAGAATCACTCCAATAACTTTTTGTTCATAAAGGGAAAGCAAAGGTTCACTGCCAAGGAATCCTACCTACAAGTTTAAGGTGCAGTAGCAGAATTATTGAAAAATCCACTGTCGTTATCAAATCATTATCAAAGTATCATTATCAAAATATAAGGGGGGGGTGCATAATTAGCATTCTGATTTGAGCAGGAAATAATGCTTTCCTTCTAATGAATTTCCTTTTTCTTTTTATTAGTGCAGCTGATACCAGGTGATTTAATGATGGAAAGATTCATCACCTTGAAAGCAGGTGACGAAAATTGTTCAATTTTACTTTTAAATTTAGGACGATCAATGTAAGATTTTCGGTAACATTAATGTGACAGGTATTGTATTATCTGTTATAGCATAATATCTGTAACAATATGAACGTGCCCAGTGCTTCAATAATTTATTTGTTGGTTCAACATTTTCAGTGAAACACCGGTTTTCTGAAGGGAAATATGTGGTAAGCGCATGATATCTGGATTTCTAAATTTCAACTTTCTTTCACTATCGCAAGATTCAATGGCTGAAGATTTATTCATCTGAGGCTATTTAAAACGAAATGGGAATTCAAACAAGCCACGAACCGTACAATAGTTAAAGCAAATATTCGAGAAGCAATTCAAGAGTTAAGACACGAAATTCTAACAAGTGTTATGAAAAATTCCCTGCATACGAACACGTTAAATCGAGGTTGACAAGGACCGCCATTTATAATTTTTAAATTATTTAAGTTTATTATATTATTATTAGTTATAATTTTTAAAACGTTATTTAAATATATTTGCTTGAATTGCATTTAATGTTATGTGGAAAAATAAGATTAAAAAATAATAATAATTTAAATTATACCGTTAGTTATGGAGAATTTTATGAATTTCGTTATATCGAAGATTCTGGAACTTTCAAATGCTGGGAAATAGGAAGTGATATTTAAATGTGTTTTTGAAGAAAAACGAAAAATGGCAAATTTGTAAAAGAGACTGGCACTGAATAAGGGAATTAGTAATTTAGATTCAGCGAATTTAACTACTGTTTGCGTTGAGAAATGAATGAAAATTGGTTCGAAAAGACATGACCGAGAAACAGAATATTTTGGAATAATTTTAATAAAAGTAAACGTAAATGTGTATTAAACAAAATTTAATAACAGAAAAATATATTTGTATTTTTTCATTTTTCGCATTATTTAATGAAAATGCAAAGGTTTCTAGTTTCAGTTATTTAAAAATAAACCATGGAAACAAAAGGTTCTCTAAATTAACCCAGTATTTAGAAGCCCAAGTTACCTCCAAGGAAACTTGGGCTAGACTGCTGTATCATTATCTAGGAAGCTAAGTAAGATGTAGGGACGACAAATAATCGAACTCAGTTAGGGATGCAGATAAACCTTAATTTTTAAAATTAGAAGTGTCGAAAGCCTATGAAAGGTCGTGAGGGAAGAGGAAACGAAATAAATGCGTAACATAATTAAAACATTCAAATTAAATTAAATGTGAAGAAATGTGAAGATGTAAAACTGAAAATCAGGCAAGATGGCAAATGTTGCCGAAGAAAACTATGGTGTTTCGAAGCTGTTTTGCGTAATTTTGAGATGAAATTGTAATAAATAATCGAGTAACGTAATAAAAAGGAAAAAAAAAAAAAAAAAAAAAAAAAAAGGACACACCCATATTCGGGTCTTCTGCTAAATTTATTATGTAAGTGTGAAGAATAATGTACTATTTCAATGATGGCTTTTTTGCAGCTCATCAGTGGAGATAGGTCAGTTAAAGCCTAAGTAATGAGGCTAATATAGAGGAACGGCCGTTGAAGATTCGGGGGGGTTAGAAGCGGGCAGGGAAGATAGAAAACATGTTTCCCACAAGAGAGGTAAGAACTGCAACGGTGAAGTACAGTAAAGTACAGTACATTCAACCAGCCAGGAAACCAGTATTGCTGCACCCTGCAGAGACGTTATACAAGCACGAGCTACTGGCATTTCTGTCTTTCTCAGTAGAGCTTTTCCATGCCCACGAATGCGCTCATGCCGTGGCGTTCTAACTTTTAACCCTCTGGGCGGCCAGCGGTTTCGCTAAGAAAGCACAAATTTCCCAAAACTACTATGAGAACAAATTGTTTTTTTTTTTATTTTAATGCAAAAACTCTCCTGGTATTTCATACATGGATTTGTTTTCTTCTGATATATTGCCTTAGTTTCGTTGACATATTTTAATATGCACGTATATATACGTTCTTACTGATATCACAATAAATATTCTAGGCCGTATATATACGGCTTTGCCGCTTAGAGGTTTTTAAACCACTGGTGAAAGCAGGAGGTAAGATTCCATGCGTGTGAAATAAAACGACAGCGTTGGACTAAGCATCCAAGGCAAGTGCTAGCCCTAGAATTCACACAGTTATCCAAGTAGCGAGGTGCAATCAGGAACCATAACTGATTTCATGACCCATTCGCGTTTTTCCCTTAAGAAAACATGTACTCGACATGCATGCCACCATACTCGAAACTCGAATCTATCAGTGAAAGCGAACACCTTAGAAATGCGCTTGCAGGACAACAGGAGACCACAGCTACAGGAGGTGAGCATTCGTGGGATGGAGAGGCATGGGGCACAAATATCCAAAACACGTGATTCAATGTCTTTTTACACCTCTGCAAGGCCCAGCAACGGTACGAGGGCCGAGCTGCTCCCAGATGTTCTGAGGAATCCTTCGATTGTGAACCTCACCTTCACAAGGCGAGAGGGACGCCGGAAACAAGCGAAACTAACATGAATTGTCTACAGGAGGGTAACACACTCCTTCATCACCAAGCAACTAGGCAATCTATGTCTTTTTGGGGAGCTAACGCAAGGGAAGATGAGAATAACTTCTTGTCAGCATCATTAAATATTGATAATTGAGTTTGCCGCAAACTAACAGCTTGTTCCAAAACATATGTTTTTGCAGACTTTACCTTCTGAAGGAGAAGGATCACAGATTTATCTTCAAACACATTTAACTTTATGCTGAAATTTATGCTGCAATTATACAATTGTCATTATGATTTATCAAAGTCAGCATGCTTTATTTGTGTTTAAGATGACTGCTGTACTTCTCACGGCGTAACAAATGGTGCTTACATGTATATATTCTTTTAAATATTGGCACATCAACATTTACGATAAACAGTACATAATATACTGACGCTTGAGAATTAATTTGCAATCATCAGAAATAATTTATTTCATTTGGTGCGAATTGCAATCATAGCCGTAATGCATTATTCAAAAAGGAATAACTTTAAATTTGAATATTTGTTTTTATTATGACGTAGTTAGTCGCATATCTAATTGTAGTTGCAAATATTATATTTCTCAAACTGAATTTAATAAATTATATTTTACATTAAATTATGTATTTACAATCTATTTATTGTTTTCATAAGATTATAAAACTGTTTGTTTAAACCAACTATTATATAAATAATTCGTTTTTAGATAATATATTATCAAACTTGCACGTGTTAAGACCGTAAGTGAAGAGTAAACTAAGTCATAATTACGTATAAAAGAACTGATTCTTGCAAAGATTTTTGCACCGTCAGTTTCCTCTGTATAAAAAGCTTACTCTTTATCTGATATTTATTTAACAGAAATAATTTTAACGGGAAAAAGCGGGGAATCATTTACGGAAAAAAAAAAAAAATTAACATTCAAAAAATCTTATTATTTGAGAAGAGTTCAGAATTCAAAATATATAATTAATTGATATTATTGGAATCGATTTAAATTATTGAAACAAAGCATTTCTTATACGAAAAATATTGCCGAGAATTTATTCTAATACCTGTCGCAAACAAAAGATAATTTTACATAATAAAAAGGCTAAAGTTATATTAAACCAGAAAGTTAACATGTAATTACTTTTTAACCCTTGCGGTAAAATCCACAGCATTAGAATAAGGCGACAGTGTGTTTATACCCTGTATATTCATAGTGAAGCACACTTTGCGCATAAGTGATTATCAATGTTAATAGTTAGCAATTCAGATAAGTAATGTTTATACATCTGCAAAGAAAGTCGACCCATTAAGGTACTATTTAAAATTCTATTTTTCATATTCAAAATCTGTTTAGAGAAAGCTTATATAACGCTGGAAAATTAATTCTATACGCAAGAAATCCCTTGATTAATTACATAATATCTGTAAAGAAACTGTTTCATTTAAAATTATACATTTTCTAGAAATGATGCATAAATACCCTTACATAATAACATTTTTATCTTTTTAACTGTGTAGGAAATTTTAATTGTAAATTGAAATATCTTTTCTTTGTTTAGCCGTTGAGATTGAAATACCCTTCGCAACACATCACAAACTTGAAAGATACTGAAGTAGTTTGTGCTTTGTATGTGCACTTTATACAACGGAGCTTCCTTTACTTCACTGTGATTGATATCTTTGTTTAAAATTAACATCAGCAAATTATACTTCCATAGCTTGAGGGGGTGCACTTGCTGCAAAGGTAATCTTTTCCGTTATCAATGCCACCCATCAGATAAATGAGCGACATTCTTCACAGCATAACTGTATATTAAATAACCATTTCTTTCGTGTACTTCTCCCTGTATTTTGTAGATAACAACAATGTACAGAGTCACGTGATTGCACAATGCTTGAACATGAGGCTGCTAAATGGACGGAACAGAGGGGTTCCACTGCACCCCACTCGTCTTCCATGTCTTTACCGTATGTGACACTATCGCTCATCTGTGAATAAAAAACAATGGTTAGCTCGTAAGATTAAATAAATTTTTTGCAAGCCACAAATAATTCTAAAAACTAAAGCACGTTAAATAAATAACAAGAACGTGGATAACATTAACCAAACAAGGAAAAGAAACATTAAAATATCTGTTTTCCTAAGAAGGAAGCCAGTATTATCCAGCCATGAAAGAATAACCATTAAGCATACAAGGTATTTCTCCCGCCTTCTTAGCATGCTTTCGTAGTGTGGTAGTCTGCACACTAAGAACGTATTCCAGAGGTCCGTGGTTCGATTCCCGGCGAGGACGTTGCTCATTTTTCATATTCTCTTGCTTCCAAAAAAATCTAATGACTCTACAGTGGCGCCCGAACTAAAAGGGTGGCGGAGGATGATTCTCCACACCCAGGATTTGGTGACTGGGCCCCGTAAAACCCCAGTTACCCTTTAAAAGGGGGGTATATAAGGTATATCTCCCGCCTTCTTAGCTCGCCTTCGTAGTGTAGTGGCCAGCAAGCTGGGCGCGTATTCCAGATGTCCGTGGTTCGATTCCCGGCGAAGGTGTTGCTCATTTTTCACTTCTTCCTGTTTCCAAAATAACCTAATAACTCTACAAGTAAAATGAGCTCGTGCTTAGGGCATAAAAAGGAAAGAGGGCAAAAATTGAAACTCAAAGAAAGGGACAGCTCGTAAGTTTGTCATTGCCGGTTTTACCAAAGAATGTATGGTGCATCTAAACCAGAATAATAGGAAGAAGAACTTACTGTAAATGGATATGGAGGCACTAAAAGGATTTTAGCGTTTACGGCATCTAAAAGCGTCAATCCGGGCCTGCCATTAGTACAAACATACAGACTGGTTTATATACCAAAGAGGGAGGAAGGGTGAGTTTCTGAGTTATCCTTATTGGGGTGGCGTTTGTCTACTTCAGCTTCTTGCTGGACAAGCGTAACTGTTTTGGCAGTGCTACCAAAAGTTATAGGAGTTGAAGTAAGAAGAAAGTGACGCTTAAAAAATTAAGGCATAACACGATCACATGGCAACAACTGTTGAAGAGTCAGCAAACATTAGGAAGTCATGAAAAATTTCAGACTCTTAAATACTACAGAGTACTCAGTTGTATTTTGAGACATTTAGCAGAAACGGAAAATACGTTTTGGCTATTTTCTTATAAAAATTATAAAAAAATGTTTTTTTAACCTCCTAAATGGGTATACAATCCATTTTTGAACAACCGGTGACGGTTTAAGTAGCTCCATGTCTAAGAATACATTAAGTTTGTTTATTGGGGAAAGATTAAAAATTGTTATCGCAAACGATGAGAGTGAAAAAAAATAGTGTAAATTGGCTAAGAAAAATGTCAATAACAAAAGTGCATGGGAAAACAGCAGTAATATGAAATGATAGATAATAATCAGGAATTGTGTTCATCCATAATAGTTCGTAATCAGGAGTATATAAATATTGTTAAATTATCCCTTAATAGAACATTAATCTTAAAAAAACGAAGTATATAGTAATTAATCATACAAAACGTTCGTAACACTAAATACATTTTTCCTTTTTAATTAATGCAGATAATATTAAAAGTTGGTTCTGTGCCAATACTCAAGCCTGCCACCGTATTCTAAAGCCTGAATTCTATACAATTCTGTGAACAAAGTTTTTTTATTAAAAAATTATATTTATGCTTTTCATAACACTCTCACCACTGCTCGTTATTTAATCTATTAACATCAAGAACTTTTCCTAAGCCATTATTTCGTTTTTACTACGTACGAAAATGAAATTTTCTCTCATCAGTTTGTGTATTATTCCTAGGTGTGAGTTCAAAATTTAATATTAAATGTCTCTGTCAGTTGCTGTCGTAAGACAATAGAACCCTCTCTGTGTTTTCGTTCCAGAATAAGCATGAACTTTCACTAACTATAACTGTACGTAACATAGGCCATATAAATAATTAGATTTTCTAATTTTTTACGCAGTTCATTCTTTAAACTTCAAAAATTATATATCTTGTGTCGTTAATTATATTTTCTAATTTTTTACGCAGTTCATTCTTTAAACTTAAAAATTATATATCTTGTGTCGTTAATTATATTTTCTAATTTTTTACGCAGTTCATTCTTTAAACTTAAAAATTATATATCTTTGGTCGTTTTAAATATTTTTGTAACTGGAAGTATATGGAAACTTAAAAACTTGGCAGTTAAGGTTGCGAAAATAAAGGCAATTTAAGATTTTTTTTGAAAACATTCATGATACTTTTCTGGGTAAAACATTCATTTGGAAGCTGGGTTTTACAGTTTGGTGACTTTCGACAGTAATTTCATTTCATAAATGTAGGAAATTTCACGAGGTTTGTGTTAGGGCTTATAGGCAAGACTTTTCCAGTCTGTATTCCTAATTATAATGTAGTTATAATCCTAAAACTTATAGATAATACAATTATCAGATCGTTTCATATTAGAAATATTGGCACCTCTACTCTACGGAAAACTCTTTTAGTCTGTGTTACTAATTATGATACAGATATGATCGTAAAACTTGTAGTTGACACAAATCTTAATTACATCAAATCATTTCGGATTCATCTCCAACCGAAGATTGTACTTACTCTCAGACATCTTCATAGACCATATCTGCCTCTAACTTGTGGAATGCTATTGCTGTCGGGTCATCAGCAAGCTCCGGGAATTCATCTGTGTTATGAACTATGGAACCATGGTAACCGGACACTATTCCCTTTTCAAGCAGCTCTCTCCTCTCTTCTGGAGTCCACGGCCGACTCCCCTTGAATCCTTCTCTTACAAGATTCGCCTCCCTTTGCCAAGCATCATTTATGGCTTTCCTTCTCGCATGGTGAACTAACCGCTTTTTCTCCTCCTCTGGACCTCCTGATAAAAAAAAAGTTACAACATATTTAGAGTTTCATTATTTAGACACAGGAAGTTCATGAAGTTTTTTGCAGTCTTATGTTATTATGATAAATGAACGTGATATATATATGGGACCTGATATTCACCACTTAGTTCCCAAGCATGGGGAATACGTACGCGAGGTTTCCCTTGATAGAGGGAAGAGATGAATCACTTTCTTTGGTGCTATGCTGACGATACGGCATTAGCCGTAAAGTCCGCAAACGTACACCATGCAATCAAGAAGTTACAGGAGCTTCTGCCAGTGGTAGAAAAGTGGTGTACGACTTGGAGAATTGCTATTAATGCCAGCAAGTCGCAATTATTAATGATAAAGAGAAAAAATACAAGTTGACTATTAATAGCAAGCTCTTCTTATTCTCTGAAGAGATTCCTAGAGTTAGTAAGGCGAAATATTTAGGAGTAATGCTAAATGAAAGATTAAAATGGGGAGATCATATAACAGAGGTCAGAAGAAAAATTTTTACTGTTGTAAATAGTCTCATCCCTATATTGGGTAATTATTCTAGCTTAGACCTCAGGAAAAAGAGGCTAGTATATATCACGGCAATTAGGCCATTGATGACTTATGCGTCGCCGGCCTGGTGCACGGCTACCAAGGAGGATATAAAAAGACTTCAAATCATGCAAAACAAAGTCTTAAGGCTTATCACCCATGCTCACTTTTTTGTGAGCAATGCTACACTGCACTGTGACTTAAAACTGGACACTCTAGAAGAGAACCTGAATAAGATCAACAGGAAATTCTTCACGAAAGCTCTGAACTGTGACCATATGAGAAATTTTGATATTTTTACATACGAAATATTGAATGAGGACGCCAAACTGCGCCCACTTGCGGCCCACCTTGTCAGGGACCCGAACTTTCCCACCTAGCGCCCACCTGTAAATAATGTACCTAATGTGTTTATTAGCATGTAGGGTTTATATTTATTTTAACTAACATTTATTTTAAGTTTAAACTATCTTTACTGTCAAGCCTTACTTTCCCCTGGAACTGCCAATGCCAGAGTATGTAAATTTTAGTAGAACGCGCAAGGATTCAAATTATCAGCGGAAGCATTCTGAGTTAAATAGAAAGGAAACGTGTTCGAAGTGTGCTTTCTTACTTCACGAGCGCGGAGGTAGTTAGCCAGAAATTGAAGAACCCCGCGTTTCAGCCTGTGTGCTTGCCTTGGACAATTGTTAATCGTTCAACGTGATATTCAAAGTTTGCTGAATTAGCAGCGGTATTGTAAAACGCGGTGAGGTTAGTTACTTTTAAAGAGCCTCGTAGTTAGAGTCTTGTTATTAGTTTCTTTTCAGGTTCTTATTTTTATTTTACCGCCGAGTCGGCGTAGTTTGTGAGCGTCAAGACCACGCAAGTGTAACTTCTTAAGTTAAATAAAAAGGGACTTAAACCCTTAGCAAGACTTTGTCATTTTTCCAGTCACCTGGTTGCGTGCAAGTTGGAGGCGCGCAACTCTACATTGGCGCCCGAACACTTATCGAACTGAAATGGCCGAAAATCGGATGGAAGCCCCTGGACAACACCAAGAAATGGCAAGCCAATTGGAAGGATTTGGATACCTGGTCCAGACTTTGAGAGCGTCAATCAAGCCAAACGTCAATTTCGACGGAAAAAATTCGGTGGCGATATTTCTAGAAAACCTCGACAATCACTTTCAGCTCTACCCTGTGCCTGAAAGACAAAAAGTTGCCACCGCCACATCTGCACTAAGAGGACAGGCCGCGCTATGGTGGAAGAATATAGGCAAATTTTTATTAGGGGAATTTGGAAGTCAGACATATACATTTGAAAATTTCAAAAAATCGTTATTAAAGGCCTTCCCCATAGTGAAAGATCGGGCAAGGCTAGAAGCCGAACTATATAGTTTCTATCAACGGGATATAGAAGAGTTAACGGACTTTATTCTGCGAAAAATTAAACTAACGGATATGCTGTATGGGAAAAAACCCGACGCGGAGATTATTGAAATAATCTTACCAAGATTGTTACCTGCTGTTCAAGACTAGTTCGAAATTAGAAACCCAAGCACATTGCAGGAGCTCTTCGAATTGGCGGTCAAGTTTCAAAATCGCAGAATAGCGGAAAAAGCTAGAGGGGCATCGTATTCTCAAAGTACCCGAAGGCAATCTTCAAATGAGCAGACCAGAAATGCAAACCGCTCTTATGGGGGAAAGAGCTATCAAGCTAACTCATCGAACCTCGAAGGTCAAGGCCCAAAAAGGAAATTCGAAAACAAACGTCCGCGTACCCAGAAGGCAGAAGTTGAAAGGAAAGCTTTAAACGAGTAGAGGGGCCTGTGAAAGCGAGGGTCCAGACCCCGGAAGTTTTAAAAAAAACCCTCAAAAAGACACTTAAATACGGTCATCGTAAAGAACTCACATCTACCAATTATACAAGTCCTGGTTGGCGATGTACCAGTAGAAGCCCTCATCGATACAGGAGCAGAAGGTAATTTTATGAATGAGACATTTTTCAAAAAGAATTTTTATAGGTTACGATTATTTAAAAACAAAAACACAAAAATTATAGCGGCGCAAGGAAAAAAACCTGTCACTGCATCGGGAAATTATCATTAAACATACAGGTAAAAGAGGAAAGCTTCAAAGTATTAATTTTTGTAGTAAAACATTTGCAAAACCCTCTTATTTTAGGTATGGAGTTTTTAAGGGCCGCGAGGGCCAAATTGAATTTTCAGGACAGTTCTATTGTGCTGGAGATGGACCAGAGGGTGGTGGAACCAGTGGAACAACCGCAAGTTGACCTTAGCCATTTGAATGACCATGAAAGTCAAGCCATCCAGCAAGTGGTGAGTAATTTTTCAAACTTGTTTTCAGAAAGGCCTGGCAGCTGTCAAATAGTTACGCATGAGATACAGTTAACTGCCGAAAAACCCTGTAGGACTAAACCTTATCGCTATGATAAACAGAAAGACCTAATTATAGAAGAACATATTCAGGAAATGTTAAAGAACAAAATAATAACGCCCATAAATAGTGAGTACGCGAGTCCAGTCGTACTATGTAGGAAAAAGAACGAGTTTCCTCCTTCGGATAAAAGGGCTTGGAGGTTTGCTATCGATTACAGAAAACTGAATAGTATTACTAAATTCCCAGTTTACCCTTTGCCGGTTATAGAGGAAATTATTAGAAAGATTAAATCTACAAGATACATGACTACTTTGGACTTAACATCTGGCTACTATCAAATAGCTATGAGACCCGAAGACATACATAAAAATCGGGCACTTATGCATTTTTACGCATGCTCTTTGGGTTGTGTGGGGCCCCATCAACATTCCAGAGAGCTATGGACATTGTTCTAAAGCCTGTCCTAGGAAAATCGACTTTAATCTATCTAGATGATATAATTATAACGAGTAGTACGTTGGAACAACATATTAAAGATCTAGAAGTTTTTAAATTATTAAAAGAGGCCGGTCTTACAATTAACGCCTCAAAATGCAAGTTCGCAACTAAAGAACTTAAATATCTGGGTTATAAAATTTCGCAAAAGGGTATAGAAACTCAAGATTCAAAAATAAAAGCAATCAAGAATTTCCCACCTCCCAACACCGCCAAGAAACTTTCTTCTTTCCTTGGGTTATGTTCTTATTATCGGTCATTCATAAAAGATTTCGCTAATATTGTTGAACCCTTGTTAGTAATTAAAAGAAAGAAAAGTAATTTACGTGGACAGCGGAAGCAAATACCGCATTTGAAAGATTAAAAGAAGCGCTCATCAATGCCCCTGTTTTGAAATTCCCGGAGGGGGACGAAAACCTGGAAATTGCAGCAGATGCGTCGGACTATGCTGTGGGTGCGGTTCTTATGCAAAATGGGCCATCCTTCTGGCATTTTTTAGTAAAACGTTGAATCATACACAAAGGAATTATACAGCTACAGAAGAGAGAAACATTAGCCGTATTAATGGCTGTACACAAATTTCGAGTTTATTTCGGCAAAGCGCCAGTAACAGTCTTTTCGGAATCATGCGGCTGTTGGTAGACTTTACTCGGGGAAAAACCTAACGCCCAGGTTAATAAGATGGGCTTTAAAACTCCAAGAATATAATCTCATAATAAATATAAACCGGGTAAGGAAAACAATGTAGCTGACGCACTTTCTCGTATAAAACTGGACGATGAAGGCAATGAACTTAAATGCGCTGTGTTGACTTCAAAAATTTTAGATTCTAGAGATACAATTATCGCTGAACTGAAAGCTGATCCTGAATTTGGAAGTATCTATGCTATTTTTGAAAGACCCCGAAAGCTTTGAACACACAGATATCGATGCGATAAGAAATAGAGCAGAAAACTATGAAATAATAGATAATTTATTATTTTATACGAAAACAACAAACGAAAATCTCGAGTACAAACCAGTCATCCCAGCCTCGCTTCGATTAAGCATTTTGAAGGAATTACACGACGCGAAAACAGCGGGTCATTTAGGGGTCAGAAAGACTTTAAAAAGGGTACGCGAGGCGGTATATTTCCCGCAATTATACAAAATAGTAACTGCGTATGTCAGGTCCTGCAATCAATGTCAGTTAATAAATGATATTAATTACAGCCCGGCCGGGTACTTAAATAGCATTCGCGCTACATTTCCGAATGAAATTTTAGGCATAGATCTTCTTGGTCCTTTCCCCAGAGTGAGTTAAATAAAAATCGTTTTCTTTTAGTAATTGTAGAGATCATTTTTCAAAATGGACAGAAATTGTTCCACTTAAACGCGCGTCAGCCAAAACAGTCGCAGATGCATTCTTACACAGATACATTTTTAAAATACGGTGCACCGATAAAAGTCATTAGCGATAACGGTAAACAATTCATTAGTCAAATATTTGAAAACATATGCACTGGACTTGGCATAGACCACAGGCAAACATAGCAGAAAGAGTTAATAAAAACACTGTAAAAATAATTCGCAGTTACGTTAGCACACATCACAAGCGCTGGGATGGCTACATAAATGAGTTAGCTTATGCTTTAAGAACGGCAAATCACGATACTACGGGAAAAACCCCAGAGCAGTTATTTTTACCCCAAAGCAGAATTATTTTTATGCCGAAAGTTAATTACGCCTTTAGATAAATTATTCTTTGTGCAACAAAGAGAGGAAGAATTTAAACAGAAAGATGTGCAAAAACTTATTGACCAGGCGCTTAAAAGCTCGGATACGGCAAGAAATAGGCAAAAAATATATTACGATAGAAAACGCCGTGAAGCAGATTTTAAAGTTGGGGATAAAGTATTGAAGCGGAAATTTTCTTTATCAAGTGCCCCAGACAATTTTACTGCAAAGTTAGCTCCAAAATTTGAAGGCCCCTATGTAATTCAGGAAATCAAAAGAGTCGTATTGTACCTTAAGAACGAGAGAGGGGAAATCTGTAAAGCAAGTCCCGAACAGGTGAAAAAATACTATAATCAAAATGATTTTGAAATCCTTAAAAGTTTCTTGCAGGACTCAAGCGTAAAAGAAGTAGAAGGTCCCGAAATAACGTCACCCGTTCCACCACCCAAGAAGCAGAGAACTGAAAAGAGACCTAGCCCTTCTACAACCCAGGCGACGGTACCGAAAAGAAAAAACGAAAACTTTCAGACTCCAGCATTTAAGAAAAACAAGAATGCAAAGCCACCGCGTAAAGAAACCTTGGTAAAGAGGAAAACACCACCTACAACGTATCGCAGTAGAAATTATACATCAAGGAGAACGCTTCCCAGGGCCAGAGAGTCAGGTGCAAACAAGGCCGCCGTTCCGGAAAATAAAAAGACAGCAGGAGGAACGAAAAGACCAGCAACAACAGAAGAAATTCAAGAACGATTTCCAGACCGGAGGACGCCAAGACCAGCCGTCCAGGGGAAAAACGAAAAAGACAGCAACCCGACGACTACCACTCCAAGAGGCCAGCATGCAGAGGGACGAAAAAGAAAAACTAATGTGGACGACACTCGAAGGTCACAGTAAGGAGAAGACTGACGTCCATGAAACCTATAACGTGGGAAGCAGTTCTGCCAGAAAAGAGGATGTCGGAGTTCCAATCATCTAAAACTCAAAGATAAGTTAAAATCTTCTATAAAATTTTTCTTTTGTTCCAAAATGTTATGCGTAAATACGAAGTTCTATGTTTTGACGAAAGTCAATGTGTCTCGGTTGAGACTTAGTTTTGTTTTACTTTATTTAGATAAGGCAAAAGTAGTATTTTCTTTCAGTATAAAATCTGGGAACAAGCAGTTTCTGTTGGTTGAAAGACTAATTCTGTTATGTTAAAGCCAAAATTTGGCCGAAGATAAAAATAACTTCGTATTCTTGTATTAATAAGAATTTTAGTTTCAGTGCCGCCAGCTTGGCGAAGAATGAGTAAAGTAAAAATTTATTTTTCTCTTATTCATTTTATGGTAAATTGTAAAAATCATATGTATTTTGTAAATATACGTAAATACTTGAAAGTTATGTAAAAGTAGAATTTAGTCTAGAAGCATAAAATTGTAGATGCTAAAAGTAAATGCTTAAAAGCAATGAATTCTAATTTAAGTATTAAACTGTAGATAAAATCATGCTTTAGAGTGAAAGCCTGCATGCCTAAAGATGAATGAGGCGGAAGTTAGAATGAATGTGTTTTGTAGGGTTCTCCACCTACACTTGAATTTTAAGAATGAAAAGTAGCTCATCGAGTTGTAGAATGTCGAGTAAGGTGTGTCTATTTGGTCGTTGAATTCTAACAAATCATGGTAGTTAGGGGAAGTGTCGTAATACTAAAACACGAATATTCCCGTTTGACACCACACATGGTGGAGAGCCAGGGTAAAGTTAAATTAATGTTTGAATACTTGAATGAATGTGAATTAAGCAGTAACTAAGGAAAATAAATCGTTTAAAAACAAAAATGTGTTCAGTGTCAAGAAAGTGTAAATTATAATGTATTTAGAAAGATACTGATACTTATTCCTTACAGATGCTGGAAGGAAAAGAACAAGATTGATTGCTGAAGTCCAGGAAAAGTTGCTGTAAGAAGAGAGATTTAAATAAGTATCCACAGAAATTTAGTATACCTTTTGTGACATAAGATTTTTTTTTTTTTTTTTATGTAAACGAGGCTCTTAAAAGTTAGTTCAGAATAGTAGAAACTTTCGAAAACTTGGAAACAGGTCGTTTGTAGGACCTGCTTCCAAGTTTTCCAAATTCTGGCAGCGGCAAATGTAGGGTTTATATTTATTTTAACTAACATTTATTTTAAGTTTAAACTATCTTTCCTGTCAAGCCTTACGTTCCCATGGAACTGCCAATGCCAGAGTATGTAAATTTTAGTAGAACGCGCAAGGATTCAAATTATCAGCGGAAGTATTCTGAGTTAAATAGAAAGGAAACGAGTTCGAAGTGTACTTTCTTACTTCACGAGCGCGGAGGCAGTTAGTCAGAAATTGAAGAACCACGCGTTTCGGCCTGTGGGCTTGCCTCGGCAAATTGTTAATCGTTCAACGTGGTATTCAGAGTTTGCTGAATTATCAGCGGTATTTTAGAACGCGGTGAGGTTAGTTACGTTTAGAGAGCCTCGTAGTTAGCCATTTGTTATTTTCTCTTTTTAGTTTCTTAGTTTTATTTTACCGCCGGGTCGGCGTAGTTTGTGAGCGTCAAGAGCACGCATTTGTAACTTCTAAAGTTGAATAAAAAGGGACTTAAACCCTTCTCAAGACTGTCTAATATCCAGTTTCAGCAGTCACCACTTTGTTGCGTGCAGGTTGGAGGCGCGCAACTGTACAAGCATTCTTAATTTTGTATCTTACTCATTTATTGTAATGTGTATTTCTTAAATTCACTAGTTTTATTCACATTCTACACTCATTTTATGACTACCACTTAGTCACGCCTTTACCGGGCCGGTTACTTGCTAGTGAGCTCTTGCGTTGCTGGTCTTCCTATTTTTTATCTGTCTTTGCTCCTCCTTACGGCGAACATTATGGGAAGATAGTTCTATGTTATTGTGCCCATCTGGCATAAATTTGATTGAGCCAGATAAACTACTGATCTCAGTGGTATTCTGGCTATAAGTTATCAGTCAGTCAGTCAGTAGAGGCATACTGATGTGCTTATAATAGCGACATAAATTTTCGCGCTGAAACAAGCCTGTAAGCAAGTATCAAGGTATAACAATTTTCAGCATACATTTAGGTACGATGTTCGTCGACTGTTACTAACCGACGCATGGGCATAATACAGTACTGCAAGGCACACCCGTATGAGTGGTACTTTAACAAATTACTTCTAAGAAGAAGAAAATTATGATAATTATGATAAAGTTTTTCTGGGTAGTTTGATTATTTTAGATACCTCTTTCAGGACACTTTGTACTTGTATCATGAAGTTCAAATCAACAATAAATATTAAACTGTTTCTTGAAAATAGGCAAAATTTACCTCCATATCGTATATTGAGCAATAAAGCTGGACTGCGCAATCGCAAATCCATGTGTGTGTCTCCAGTATGCCTTGTGACATTATACATAGTACCCAGTCTTTGAAACTGGTTCCAGTCCTCTTGAAATCTCTTTTGTTCTGTCTGTACCAAATAAAAGGAGTCTTGACCGTTGAGAGAAAATCGCACATCCACACGGGCCGTGTCGTTAAGGACTTCTTTCATCACATTCCGGACAACTGAATTAGCATCACCCAGCACGTGGATGTAAGCACGACCTTGATTTGTGGACATCAAGAGACCCTCACCTAATACGGAGGGCAAGTTAGCGAACTGTGCCTGCAGTTCTGCTTTATATCTGTAAGAATACAACAAATTAATTTCAAGCATTGACAGTATTCAGTAGGGATACATTAGAATCCATTTAAAAAATTTTTACTCTAAAACGCAATCTAAAGTTTTAGAATACAGATTATACGAACACTTGTTTAAATAAAGAGTAAAAGAACTAACATAGCACTCAGTGAAACATTCTGAATTTAGAACAAAAACTTGTCATTCCTTAAAGTTTTATCATGCATTAGAAAAAGCATTAGCATTAAAAAAAAAAAAAAAAAAAAAAAAAAAAAAAAAAAAAAAAAACGTAGTTTTTTTGCTCATATTTACCTAAATTATGATTTGTAATACCGGTAATGCATCATGTGAAGATGTATGCTCGTGTTGTTCTAAAATTTGGCCATGTCCATGGGAATTTCTAGATATATGCTCATTGGCTCGAAAAATAACCCAAGAAAATTTGAGTTTTATTCCCTGAAAAGTTACAACTCGTATGGCAACTTTCTTCAGAGCACAAATGGGTGATTAATTAGCTATTATTAATATGATAGAGATAATTAAGAAAGAATATATCCATAAAAATTATCGGAAGAAGTCTGTCTTACATTAAAATTACACGAAAGGGTAAACAGCCGTCTTAAAACGAGTTGTCGCATCCTTCCATGAGTGCTTTCCTGAGGCACTCATGAAAAGTGCTTCAGGAAATGCAGTGCATGAGTGAGTGCACTCATGCACTGCAGCATTCATGCACTCAGTGCATGAGTGGTTATAATGTTTAGCAGCTGGCAACTGAGAGACGACTGGTTCGAATTCCTTGCTTCGACCGACAGGGTGAAAAGTGGAATGTCTCTACAAACTTGCTTAGTCACTAAGAACTTCGCAGGCAATTTGTCCAAGATGAATTGCTGGCACGCCTTAGCTTTAACCACGCAGATAATTGTAGGCTAAGGAAACAGAATATTTTGTATCTGTATTTTTTATTACTTGGGGAAATTAAACTAGATCAAAACGAGATATTTTCTTCATTGTATTTAATTTGAAATGATATGTAATAGCACCGTCAGGCATATCTCATCCATACATGTCGTGATCCGGGTTAAGATACATTTCTCAGTTACTACTGATCTGGTCATTCTATTTGTGAGATTAAGTTACAGACTTCGCGTACTAGAATAAGCGATGTAAAAGGTTACAGAAAACGTGAGGGAATCATGAAACTTCACTCCGAACCTGCGCGTATATAGTTGTAACACATTATTGTTGAAGCTTTCGACTTGTAGTGAAATAAAACCAGCAATCTTTGCTAAGTAGTGTTATAAACTAGTTACAAACTTCCGCTTGTCTTCAAGTAGTGATCCTAATTATCGTATAATCTGCTGAAAGATCTTTGAGCTTTGATTTCATACACGAGCTGAAGAACATAGGTAATAATTACTGCAGGCAAATTTGTCTGTCAACCACATGGTAAAGCATGTCATCAATGCATACTGTAACAATGGAAGAACACTTTGTGGATTAATATATTACGTATATAACTTTGTTGTGGACATCTCATGCTTGTGATGTGTTAAGGTAGTGCGTATGATGATTACTATGGTAATGTTCTTTATTGATACAAAAAGATTTTATTATACTAGTTGTAAAATTTGGCGCAGAAGGAATTCTCATGTAGGCTTTACACGGTCCCCCGCCCAATAAGCACAGCAGTAAAAACCTTGCATTTCAAAGGGCTATGAAAGAATTCTACACAGTTCCGCTCTGTCTCAAGACTAAAATTAGTCTATTCTTTTTAAGCATAGTAATGTAGCCATTAAAAAAACAAAGATTATTTCAAATCGGTAACTTTTAGACATTTCAATAAAAAAAATATTTTTAAAGAAATCAATTTAAATCATGCAATTTATCATTTTTATTATTTGTGAGGAAATTAACCAGCAAAATTAAATAGGCAAAAGATCCAAGCAAGTCAGAATTTTTTTTTCCGAACTGTATATTTTATATCGATGTGTATCTATTCCGTATACAACCGAATAATACTTTTTTTTTTAAAAAGAATTTTGTAGATAAATTTCTTTTTTTTCAATGGGGGTATTGAAATCTTTAAAAATCTCCAGTAACTGCTAAAATTGGTTTAACGTTTTGAAATACTCACTTGGCATCGGAAAGATGAGAAGCGCTGAGCCTCGCAAAATGTTTGATAACTACGTCTGCTGTACAACTGAGTCCCGAAATAACTGGAAGGCTCTGTCTCACTGATGCCCTGAAAGGTGCCACATTCCAGCTGGAGAAAGGACTACGAAGATAATGGTCCATGTTATAACCAAAGGAAGACAACCATTTCGGTAGACCTAGAACAATTCAGTCACATTAAGTATGATTAAATGATTACATAATTTTCTTTATTCCCATCTGAAAAACAAGCTTTTTAAATATTTACAGATAAGGAAAAGTAAGCTTAGTTTTTGACTTCAATTCGGTTATTGCTTGCAAGGACATTAGGTATGATCTTGATGTCTCAGCAAAACTAGTTGAGGTTCATGGTAATAACTCAAAATGGATTTCCATTTTTGGCTGTCAGAAGAAACAGAGTAATGAAATAGTTGAACTCTAAAATAGATTTCGGAAATTGTAATTCCAAAATTTATTAAATCGGAAGAAGTATTGTAAAATAGATTCAAAAGGGATTTTTTAGGTGACTTCTGTACGTACGTATGTATATATTTCGCCTAACTCAAAAACGATTAGCCACAGAATGTTGAAAGTTTGTATATGGGAGGGGATGGATATAGCATCTACTTGTGCACCTATCTTTTTATTGCAATCGGCAGTAAGAAACGTGTATATATATATATATATAAGTATATATATATATATATATATAAGTATATATAACGGCTATTTAAACCAAAATAATTCAGTACTAAAAGTCACTGGACACCTTTAAAATCAAGTGTTAAATTTGCGTAAAATTTAATTGACCAAAAACATAAATTAGTAATTTAGTTAGAAGTAGATTAAACCATCTTAGGAAACTTCTAAAATTGTATTAAATGAAAATCTATTAAATTAAAAAAATATGAAGCAAAAGTTAAAGACCGTTCCATGTTATTTTTGAAAAACATTTAATTTCTTTAAAATAAACAATTATGTTAAAGTTTTATAATATATTTTAGATTATTTTATATTTTCATGTTCCAGACCAACTTTTCAAGGGGGGGGGTAACAATCTGGAGCATTAAATCCTGAATAATCCTAAGGAAATGAATCCCGTTTCATTCCGTTTTTGGTCTATATACATAATATTAAATATAATCATTGGTCATAGTCATATCTTCCAGTTACATAAGTGCTTGAAGTGACAAAAATATTCATGTTTTGACAATGTCAAAATAAAAAAAAAAAAAAAAATTTTCAACAAATAGCGAAATCTAACTTTTAACATGGTATCCGGGTTCTTCTATACTTATATTTGAGAAAGTTTTATACTCATTATGGAAAAATAAAAATTCTAAGAAGTTTGACTCCAGTACGACAAAAATTGACAAAATTGATTGATCTGTTTAATTTCAAAATTTGCAATTTTTTTCAGGAATCCGTTAGTCAAATTAGTATTAATTGAGAAAACAAGTGTAAATAAAGTGCAATAAAAAAGAGTCTATAATTTAATAGGCAAGGAGTGGTACAAGGAAGTAAAATAGAACAAGGAAGTCGTCTGGAGTGCACACCAGATTTTTTAAAATTTCTAATGTAGAAGTAGAAGGAAATTTCTAATGGTCAATTAGGAGAAAACCACGACTTTTATGAAAGATAAATTTATTCACCTCGCAGAGATAATTTAATTACTGAAACCAAAACAAATTTAAAATCTCTTCTCACCCATCATTAAATCATCTTCTGCTACAGCTGGACTAAGGGGATTATTATTCTTGAATCTGTACATGTGGATATCGTAGGGAGCATATAATACTCTCGAGATGTCTTCCCACTGCGGCGTCAGCCATTGAGCAGTTTCTGGCTGGTAAGCTCTGCCATCGAAGAACAGAAGTTGCGTTGATGGGTCCCGGATGCCTCCCCAGTACTCCACGTATAAAAGGAACTGCGGATTGGAGTCGGAGATGATTTCGCCAAAAGGCGTCCTGTAGAAAAGAAACCAAAGAAGTATACTTTGATGTTAAAGGTGAAATAATTCGATAAAAATGGGAACTTTCCTGACGATTTTAATCTTTACATTACGCCCAAAGGAGCGTTTTTTCAACCTTTTTTTATTTATTAAACATTACGTTCTTCGCACTTAAACCGTAAAATTCAGTTCAATATCAATATTACAAAATAATTTTAAAACAAGCATATCTTCGGAATTTCCGATATACGTACAGTTTCGTACGCTGGAGATAAAAATGTTTTTCTTTTGTACAGTGTTGCCATTCCTCGCTTTGAAATCGTTGAGTTTGCTAATAAAAAATACTTTAATGTCTGATAAAATATGAAATAGATAATAAAAAACTTCCAAATTAGGGCTTCCGGGTGCCCATATTCGGTGGAGGATTATTTTATTCGAAATTCGATGGCTCTAGGTACCGTTGTTTTATCATAACTCGAGAAACATACATACATTGATGCAGACTCTTCATTATTTAATTCCTCTAAATATAATATAGGGCTGTAATATTTGGTGGCAACAGTTTGAAAATTGAATCAACGCAGAAAGTGATTGGACGCAAAATGCGAAAACGAAATTAATAGCCCTTTTGAGCTAAAAATGGGGGTATATTTATTTTCAAAATTTAATGGACTTGTTATAATAATGGGCTTCTGTAAACATTTAGGGCTGAAGCTCATGGGATTTCCCTTTACCTGGTAGAAGGTAATCAGTTCAAAAACCCTAACAGACGTGAGGTAAATTATCTCTATGTCTGAAAGTACCTACAGAGTCAGGTAAAGGTTTAAATAAATCTTGATCCGACTCTGTAGTTACTGATGCTTATTATTATTCTGTTTAATAATAATAATAATAAATTAATGTTATTTAATTAAATAATAATCATTGAATAATAATTGAAAAATTATTAATTAATATTAATTTATTAATTTGGTAATAATTAACTATTTAATTTTTAAATTATTAATGATTTTAATAGTTATTTTAGTTATTTATTTATTTTTGTTCCTCTTTGCTGACTGTTTTCCTTAGAGCTCCGGCACTTCTAATTTTAGAAATTAAGCCTTGTTGGAGATATTACTTCCAGTCCAGCGCAACTCTGTGATTCCGATATGTCTTTGTGTAATGCATCCTATTCATTTCCTACTCCCTCAGCTGAATCATTCTGTATGTCTGCACTTATTTCTGGAAATATCTGTCTTTTTTATATATATATATATTTGCATATTTATAACAATAAATGCTATTTTATTATGACTACCTCACGTGAGTCCAAATGGGAATTTGAAAGCAAATATTCACACTGCAGGGCACTGATGTCATTGCTGGTGTGTTATTTATCTTTTGAATTCAATAATAGCAATAATTATTGAGAACAAGTATGATGCTTACCTTACAACTTTCTTGACAACCTTTCCTTCTGTGTCAAAAACCATAATCGGCGAACCTAAATGATCGCAAGCCACAAAGTACCTATTGGCAGAAGTATCTTCAATGTACATCAAATGTCCATTCGTGTCGTAGAACAGTGACATGGTGGTTCGTGAATTTGGAAGATGTACGTGTGTCACCTTCTTTGGATCCTTTGGGTTGGTATACAAGAACTGAGTGACATTGTAATCACCGCTGCTCCATGCAACTAGCCTATCCAAGGCGTCATAAACATAAGTGACATCATATACGCCTGGATTGATAGCATTAGTTAACTGCGATTTGGCATTGAACGTGAATTTCTCTGGTCCCCTAGATACAATAAAGCCTCGCGCATCCACAATATAAGGTATGTTGTCATCGTATCCAATTAACCGATCGCCTTCATCATACTGAAGTGTTATTTGTCTGTCACCGTGCCAGAAGGAATTCATATTACCATTAACATCATAAAGGTACCTAGAAAAGAAATGAGCTTGGTCAGAAAGATAGGATAAGAAACACTTTTTTGAAACATTTGACTTGCATTCAGTTAGACACACACCGGCCAATGAATAAGAAACCGTTGAGAGTTTCTTTGAATGTGTGCCAAGGATAAAATCTGCAAATTTTTTTTATGACATGGGTTACACGTGGTTAGAATGCTAGTATAAGTAAGGCGTAATTGTGCTTTTCACGATGAATGAAGTAAAATGGAAAAAACGACAGAGCTTTCACCATTTGAAGAAGCGTTTATTGTTGGTGCCCGTTTAGCAGAGGCGTCGATTTCGAAGTCAACAAATCTCACTGGGTTCTCAATAGCAACCATATCAAAAGTTTTCAAAAGTTGGAATCAGAACCCACAGTCCGAGCACAGTTTTCCAAGACAGTGATCGTCGTCGTCGTCTCCGACGAATTGTTTGGGAGGACAGGAAATCTATTGTGCATCAACTGACACAGATCGTCAACCAAGGCACTTTTCAACAGATTTCATCTCGAACCATGCGCAGAGAATTGCAGAGGATAGGAATGCATAGTCGGATGCCTGTGAGAAAACCACTCTTTTCTGCCCGACATGCAAGAATTCGTTTTCAGTGATGTCGCGAAAGAAGTCACTGAACATCTGAGGATTGGAAGCGGGTAATGTGGTCGGATAAATCACGCTACACCTTATTTTGTACTGATGGAAGACGTCGAATTTGGCGAGAACCCCATGAAGCCATGAGTCAATCTTGCCTTACTCGCACTGTGCAAGTGTCTGGTAGGAGTATCATGATATGGAGCATGTTCTGCTGGCATGGAAGTGGGACCCTGGTGTTCCTCGAGGGTAAACAGCCACGAGATACCTAGATATACTGGCAGATCAAGTGCACCCTGCAATGTTGCATTTTTATCCTGATCATGACGGATGCTTCATGGACGATAATGCAACTATACGTAGTGCCAGAAGTGTTCAAAATTGGTTCGCTGAACATCAATCTGACTTCCAACACCTTCCCTAGCCACCGCATAGCTCGGATCGTAACCCCATAGAAGATGTATGGGATATGGTGAAACGACGCATCCGACAGCCCTCTCCTCTTTCATCTAATTTAGACGATCTAAGCAGCTGCATAGCCAATGCATGGTATTCTTTGGACGTAAATGCACTCCAGAAGCATGTAGACTCGATGCCCAAAATGTGCCGATCCGTGTAAAGGTTCCAAAATATTTATTGATTGGGTTAATTTGTCCGTGTGTTATCTTTCTTTGGTAAAAATGTTACGAATTTGGTATTTAAAAAGCTAATGTTAGTTCAATTATAAATTAAATGGTTTTATTTCTCGCGCAGTGCAGCGCGTGACGAATATTAAAAGAAAGCTAAGCCGGAAAATTGAAAATACAAGAGCGCGTGCATTAAATAAATAAATATCTCTTTTTGATTTCGAGAAAGTACTGGAAAATTCTAGCGCGTGATTTTAAAATCTTATAAAAGGAGGAAAACATCTCAGTTTGTAGTAGTTGCTTAGTTTGTTGTTGTTTAGAAAACTACTGTTGTTGATTGTAGCGAATTCGAATTCGCGGATTAGCGTTCTTTAGCTGTTTTGAATTACGTTCTATTGGACATTTGAGTAGTTAAAAGAAACTACTGTGAGATATTGTAATACTGCATGATAATTTGAGAAAATTTAAGCATTTTTGTTGTGATAATAATAAATTTTTGTTCATTTTTCATCGGACTTGTGCATTCATTTCATAACGAACCCGTACGCACGCAACAATTTTTGGTGTCAGAAGTGGGATTTGAATGCCAATAACAAGAGCGATGGAAGAGCAATTAAGGCAATTGATAACAGCTTTTTGCCTCGTTTAAAGAAGAAATAAAAGAGATGAAATCTAGCCAAAGGAAAGATGGAAGGGGCCGTCAACTCCTGTTAAGGACGAAATGAAAGCCGTTCAAGCTGGTCAAGAAAAGATTGAAGCAGGTCAAGAAGAAATGAAAAGAGAAATTACCTGCATAATAGAAAATAAATTTGAAGCTATGGAAGGCAGAATTGACGCAGTTGAAAATAAAGTTGGACTAATTGAAGAAAGAGTTTCTTCGGTGAAAGAAGAAATAGAAGAAAGAGTTTCTTCTGTAAAAGAACATATAGAAGGGAGAGTTTCTGCTGTGGAGGAACGAATTGAAGGAAGAGTTTGTGCCGTCCAACACCAAATCGAACAACAAATTGATGAGAGAGTTTCTGCAGTTGCCAAAGAAATGGATACTTTAAAGAAATTCGTAGCGTCGGCAGGGAGCAGGAGTGATGATTTTAAATTCTTACCAATGCCTGCTCGTCCACCTCTGAAGCTATCCACATATGATGGGAAGACCTCCTGGCAGGTGTATAAGACACAATTTTCTATCGTGGCGGATGCGAATGGATGGGATTCCCAAGCTAAGGCCTGTCATCTCGCCGCTTCTCTAAGAGCCGACGCAGCGGATATCCTTCAGACTCTTCCCGAAAACAAAAGGTTAGATTTCGAAGCTCTGTCCGGCGCCTTGGAGTTGCGCTTTGGGGAGAAGTGTTTAAAAGACTACAGCAGGCTCCAATTAAAATCTCGTCAACAGAAGCCTACCGAAACACTTCAGGAGCTCGCCGCGGATGTTGAAAGGCTGTCCCATCTCGCCTTTTCGGAATGCCCGACAGAAACAAGGGAAATCCTGTCCTTGCAATACTTTATCGACGGCATCCGAGATACTGAAATACAGAAAGCTCTACGAATGGCGGATGTAAAAGATTTAAAAAGTGCTCTAGTGTACGCCATGAAATTTGAGGCAGCCCAGCAAGCCACTCGTCGAGACCGCCACCCAGTCAGAGCTGCTCAAGTCCAGGAGCCAGGGGATCAAGTCACCGCTCGACTTGACGATTTAACTAGACAACTGAACGCCTTGAGACGGAATATTGGTGAGAAGAAACCGACCGTTAAGTGCTGGAACTGCGGTGCTGAAGGACACATACGACGAAACTGCAAAACACCCCAGGGTACTGATGTTAAGACCGCTTCTAACAAGCAGCAGGGAAACTAATTAGTGGCCATCTCGCGGGGCGGAGGTTGCCAGATAATGAAAAGCCCCCCGTTTAAAGCGCTTCAGATTTCTGCAGTGAGAGGCGGCAGTAATGGACTTTTCATAATAGGACATATTAATGGAGTTCCGTGCAATATGACTATAGATACAGGAGCCAACGTCACCATCATCCGAAAAGATTTGGCTCAACAACTAAAAAACAAACTTATCTGGACGCCGCCCTGCGTTACCCTCCAGACTGTGTCCGGTGAGAAGATCGACATCGACGGAAAAGTAAATGTTAACATCACGTTTGGAAGTGCCGCTTACCATCACACGGCATATGTAGCAGAGATCACTGATTCTTGCATACTCGGATTGGACTTTCTAAGGAAATACAATTTTTCCTTGGATTTTAAAAATAACGAATTGCATTCTACATCTGAGGACATAGCGTTATTTCTCGTTAATGATGAAGAAGTTAAATCTGTCCATAAAATCATAGCACAAGACTATATCACAATACCGGCAAGAACAGAAATTTTACTTCCTGGATCCATAGCCGAAAATAGAAATTTCCGCTACGGCATCATAGAATATCCCAATAACTGTAATATCCCAAAAGGAGTACTAGTAGCCTCAACACTCGTCGACCTATCCAGAACGGTTATCCCGGTGAGAGTCGCCAATGTAACTGAAAAGTCGAGAGTTATTAAGAAAGGTGAAGTGGTTGCAACATGTACTCCAGTAACCAGCGTTGAAAGAAAGAGTAACATCCCAGAATCCGTGTCCTCAGAGAGCATTACATCGGAGTTATTGCAGAATGCACAATTAAACGATAAAGAGAAAAATGCTGCCGATCGCGTCATTAAAGATCTTCAAGTTGTTTTCTCCCGCTCGTCTTCTGACGTGGGTCGAACTAGTTTGACACAACATAGAATAGATACTGGCGATCATCCCCCGATCAAGCAACATCCAAGACGTCTACCGTTTGCTAAACAGGAAGAGGTGCGAACACTGTTAAAAGATATGGAAGAAGGCGATGTCATCGAGCCTTCAGCGAGTCCATGGGCATCTCCCATCGTTCTCGTCAGAAAGAAAGACGGCTCAACAAGATTTTGCGTTGACTATCGCCGGTTGAATGAGGTTACGAAGAAAGACAGTTACCCTCTTCCTAGAATTGATGACATTCTAGACACTCTTTCTGGAAGCAAGTGGTTCTCAACACTTGATTTAAAGAGTGGGTATTGGCAGGTAGAAATCCATCCTGATGACCGAGAAAAGACGGCATTTACTACGGGACAAGGACTTTGGCAGTTCAAAGTGATGCCGTTTGGACTGTGTAATGCGCCGGCAACATTCGAACGTCTTATGGAGACTGTTTTGAAAGGCCTTTCCTACGAAGCCTGTCTGATATACCTGGACGATATCATCATCGTCGGAAAGAGTTTTGAAGAGCATCTAGAAAATCTTAGAAAGGTGCTTCAGAAACTGAAAGAGGCCAATCTGAAGCTGACTCCCGCTAAATGCAAATTGTTTCGAAAGGAAGTGACTTACCTGGGACATGTCATCTCTGCAGAAGGTGTGCGCACGGATCCTGAAAAGGTATCAGCGGTTAAATCCTGGACGCGTCCCGAAAATGTCCATCAGCTGAGAAGCTTCCTAGGGCTTTGCACCTACTATAGGAGATTCGTGAAGAACTTTTCTTCCATCGCAAGACCACTTCACAAGCTGACAGAGAGCAAGCAAAGATTCTTGTGGACAAAGGAATGCGAGGATGCATTTAACAACTTAAAGGAAGCTTTAACATCTGCTCCAATCCTGACGTATCCTCAGCTCGACAGACCATTTATTCTCGACACCGACGCGAGCAATGAAAGTGTCGGTGCTGTTTTGTCCCAAGAAATAGACGGCCAAGAACGTGTAGTAGCTTACTGGAGCAAGTGCCTGTCTAAACCGGAGAGGAATTACTGTGTCACAAGGAAAGAGTTGCTCGCCATAGTCAAAGCTGTAGAACATTTCCATCATTATCTATACGGGAGAAAATTCCTCCTCCGCACGGACCATGCCTCATTGGCCTGGCTTTTAAATTTCAAAAATCCTGAGGGTCAAATAGCCAGGTGGATACAGAGACTCCAAGAATATGACATCACTATCCGTCATCGTAAGGGATCATCACACGGAAACGCCGACGCCCTGTCTAGAAGACCTTGCCAAGAAAGCTGCCGATATTGTTCCAGGGTGGAAGCGAAATACGAGCTGCTGACTCCGGTCGCAAGACAAATTACAACACAACATCAACATCGGCTGATCGAGACCCGTGGAGTGATGATGAAGTCAGGAAAGACCAGCTGGAAGACCGCGACATTAAACCCATACTTGATTTAATAGAGTCATCAAACAGAAAACCTACATGGCAGGACATTTCTATCTGTAGTCCTACAACAAAACAATACTGGGCACTCTGGGATTCACTTCACATTCGAAACGGCGTCTTATACCGGAAATTCGAGTCGGATGATGGGAAGACGTTCCGATGGCAACTGATACTTCCAAGATCCCGGATTCCTGATGTCCTCAAAGAACTACATAACAGCCCTACAGGAGGTCACTTTGGAATTATGAAGACCTTACAGAGAGTTCGTGAGCGCTTTTACTGGAATAATGCAAAGAATGACGTGCAAAAGTGGTGCCGATCTTGCGATGCCTGTGCAGGTCGGAAAGGACCGAGGAAACGCAGCCGAGGCAGACTGCAACGTTACAACGTAGGTGCGCCTTTTGAACGTATCGCCTTTGACATCCTGGGACCTCTGCCACGAACTGCTGATGGCAACAAATACATACTCGTTGTCATTGATTACTTCACCAAGTGGCCTGAAGCTTATCCTATTCCTGATCAAGAGGCAGTCACAGTAGCTGAGGTAATGATACAGCACTGGATTTCCAGGTTCGGAGTGCCTCTTCAGTTACATTCCGATCAGGGAAGGAATTTTGCCTCGGCAGTAATCAAAGAACTATGCAAACTACTTGGCATTGACAAAACTCAAACGACGCCATTGCATCCCCAGTCGGACGGCATGGTAGAGAGGTTCAATCGAACCATCCTTAATAACCTCTCATTAGTGGTTTCCAGAAACCAACAGGACTGGGACAAGAAATTACCACTCTTTTTACTGGCTTACCGCAGTGCTGTCCACGAGACTACCGGCTATTCTCCATCACAGATGCTCTTCGGTCGTGACCTTCGTCTGCCTTGTGATCTATTGTTTGGCCGCCCTCCGGATGCTCCTTCATCGTCTGAGGAATATATTCAAGATCTCCAGGCCCGGTTTGAAGTGATGCACAATTTTGCACGAGAGCGAGTCAACTTGGCGACGGAGAAGATGAAGACCCGATACGACACAAGAGCTACTGAACATCAATTCCACGAAGGAGACAAGGTGTGGTTGTGGAATCCGACTCGACGGAAAGGACTTTGTCCGAAATTACAGTCACCTTGGGATGGGCCGTACACAGTCCTAAACAGGCTGAATGACGTCGTGGTTCGGATTCGTAAGTCTTCGAACTCTAAACCTAAAGTCGTTCATTACGACAGGTTAGCTCATTACTATGGCCATAGTACATAATGTAAATAATTGTAAATAGTATAAGACCATGGTCCTTTTTGTTTTTAAATGTGTATTTGATTTGATTTGTATTTAGTATTTGATTTGTATTTAGTATTTTTTTATATTTAGTATTTGATAGCATTTGATTTGTTCAAGTTAGTTATTGCATTTATTGTTCATGTTGTTTGATATTGTAATGTAATGTTTATGCCTCAGTTGCATTTATGCCACAGTTGTAAGTTTAGCTTCCTGTCCAGGGATTGTACTGCCCGGGACGTGCAGTCCTTGGGAAGGGGGCAGTGTTACGAATTTGGTATTTAAAAAGCAAATGTTAGTTCAATTATAAATTAAATGGTTTTATTTCTCGCGCAGTGCAGCGCGTGACGAATATTAAAAGAAAGCTAAGCCGGAAAAATTAAAAATACAAGAGCGCGTGCGTTAAATAAATAAATATCTCTTTTTGATTTCGAGAAAGTGCTGGAAAATTCTAGCGCGTGATTTTAAAATCTTATAAAAGGAGGAAAACATCTCAGTTTGTAGTAGTTGCTTAGTTTGTTGTTGTTTAGAAAACTACTGTTGTTGATTGTAGCGAATTCGCGGATTAGCGTTCTTTAGCTGTTTTGAATTACGTTCTATTGGACATTTGAGTAGTTAAAAGAAAACTACTGTGAGATATTGTAATACTGCGGGATAATTTGAGAAAATTTAAGCATTTTTGTTGTGATAATAATAAATTTTTGTTCATTTTTCATCGGACTTGTGCATTCATTTAGTAACGAATCCGTACGCACGCAACAATAGTTTTCTAAAATAAGAAAAAATACCATTGGAGCTTTTTAAATATGAGTAAATACGAAATAGTTTTAAAGTAGTTTAACTGCAATAACAAAATTCTTGAGACAGCACGGAAAATAATCTGAGCTTACTCTTGAAACAGATTCAGGTATGAGCGGCAGAGGCCGGCAAAATGAAATTTTTGGAGTTCGCGGCAGATTTTATCAACCTTCTCCCCATACATAAAATTAAAAAAAAAAAAAAAAAAAAAAAAAAAAAAAACTAACAAGAAACGTATTAAAAGAACCCTCTCAAACCCGTCGGCAGTAGATTCGTTGCAAGTTCATAACTATTGAAATTAATTCTTTAGTCTATAGCACAAAAGTGGAAGAGTTTCATGTCCCGCCACCTTTACGATATCATAAAAATTTAGGCACAAAATCCCTGATTTTTTACTAAAAACAGCTTTAATGTGGGCGTCCTAGCGAAATCTTTGTGTCTTTATGCCGGGTTAGACTTATGTCTTGGCGAGCAGCGACGATCAACCAGCAAAAAGGTGCCAGACCCTTATGCAAATTGTCCATTTCTGTCAGCTCATACCCATAGGTACCTGTCAATCCCATCCACGAAACTAAATTTTTCGCGGGAGAAAGAGAAAAAGTTAAAATATCCCTTTACCGGGATTCGAAACGCGGAATTTCCTTTAGCTATCTGGACATGATAACCATTTGGACGACGAGAATATGAGCGGAAAGATGGGAAAATTCCTTATAATCTTCCCGAATAGAAGGGCTTCTAAAGCGAGGCACGAGAACCAGTCGACTAAACCCAAGCAGTGACTAATTATTACTTACCACATATTTAAGATGGACGTTATTTAGCAAAGTTAGACATCTCGAAGTAGGAAACGTGAAAAATCAACTGTGCAGTCCTCGGGTTTCGAAACACGGACGAAATCACGACCACGGGTATGGCGCTGGATCTGCCACTTGTTAACTGAACGTGATAACTATTTATACTGCTAGAGAATACACAAGGGAAAGCGATTATTCCTTACATTCTTCCGTATGATAAGGGTGACTGAGTCGACTAAAGCTAGGTGGGGACATATTATCGTTAATTACAATTTTAGTTATAGTACCGCTGTAAGGATTAGTAGACATTTTGATTCAGGAAACACGGAAAATGAGTGATTCTAACCATGGAACTTACAGGTACTAGCTAGATGGGATGACCACTTACATCACGGGAGAATACACAAGGGGGAATGCGATAAATCGTTAAAATACTGTTAACGTGGATTTAAAGATCCCTAAATTAAACACAGAACTTTGTGCTTCGAAATAAAGAAAAAGGTAGCTAATAGAAAACACCCAGTTTTATGAGTATATCATTTTCAAATTGCGTTTCTTTTATTTTAAAAAAGAACTTGTAATTATTTTCTCTCATATTTTTTTTTTACTTCATGTATTTCATAGGGAAAAAAGATGACTGAATTAAGGTAACACCAAGTAAAACTGGCATCTATGGATTAAGAGTTTTTATAATGTACTGATAAAAAGCAAGTCAAGAATGCTTTAGAAAATGAATTACTTGCCTGTAACGCCGTCTACCTATCACTTCTCCAAGGAATCCATCAGGAGTATATGAATACTCTGTGGTTTCTGTGCCAATGTCTTGTTCAGATTTTGATTGGGTTCTTCGGACTCTGCCCCTGTTGTCATACTGAATGGAAAGCGAATACACTTCATGGTTCCATAATGTGATTGCTAATAGAGAAATTAATCCATAGGAATCGTGGCCAATGGTTTTGCTGAAATGCCTTTGTTCATCTTGAATGAAAACGTTGTGTACTTTCGGCCTGTGAACTAAGAACTGCTGAACTTGCTCCAGGGCACCTGATTGTCCCGTATATCTGTACCTAGCATCGGCTACCACCTTACCAGCTGCTTCCACTTCGACAACTGTCACCTGACCCTCGTAACGGTATCGATACTTCAGACTATTTAACTTACTCTGAGCTGAGTAACGAATGCGCTCTTCTCTGACCAGAACACCATGGTACCTGGAATTGAAGAAAAATAGAGCTTTTTAGTTATCAAATACAGTTTTCGTAAATTATTTGCGTGTATTTAAATATACTTGCCCTTTTATTAATTTATTTTTATAGCGTTATGTATGATACTACGAACCAGAGAAAATCTAATTTTTCTTTATCAGGACATATTGTTGTAAATTTATATAAATACTTGTATGTATTTAAATTTTCTTCGACTTTTTATGTATTTTTGTCGTGTTTTTGTTTAGTTTATTATTTTTTCTTAGCACGAAGTAAAGTAACTACTGTAATCGCGAAAAATTTCGGATATCATATTTTAACGAAAATATCCATTTTGACCGCTCTCGAATCCTCTTGAACGATGTTTTCGCGTGACATCTATACTTACAGACATAAGGACTCCTTTTTTCCAAAACAATATTTAATATTGTTTTGGAAATTAAATTTTTAGACATGAGGTATCATGTACTAAGGATAATGATAAACTGTAGAGTTAATAACGCTGTTGTCACTTATCTCACTTGTCTGATAGTAAGATCAGAACAAGCCCACGAAATTCATCGTGGCAAGGATTACAAGATTGCGCCTGTCGTTGGCAACAGCTTTGAGATACTCAGGTAACACTACGACTTTGCTCAGTTGCGCCCCCAATTTTGATGGAGAGCACATCGGGGCGACCGGTGGAAAGGTCTCCCACTCCTCTTCTCCTACCAGCAACCTCTCGAGAGGACCTGTTGGCTGGCCACATATATAGATTGCCCCCTTCAGCACAGAGACTATACATTTACAAACATCCACGCCTTCTTCGGGATTTGAACTCGGGCCCTTCTATATGGCAGTCAGCGTCGCTATGCACTATCCCGGTTGAGTGATAGAGTTAATAATTTAATTATTAATATAGTTTGAGAATAATTTTAAAAATAAATAAATGCACCTAACTTTTTATGGGAAAATTTATCATTGTTAATTGAGCACTGGAATTACTATCGATATAAATTATATAACTTCTAGAACTAAGAATTTTTTATTTCGGTGATATGAAAAGAAGTACTTAAATAATAATTTTCGCTAGAAGTTTCAATATACAAATGCTTTCCTTGGATTGGGCTTTTATAATTTGTTGCTTCATAAATACTACTATAAATACTACAAAAATTATGAAATAAAATCTTGGGAATCATTACTCGTACAACGAGATATTTAGTTCTACGAGTATAAACAAATGGAAACAGATTTTGAAATTATGTCACATTTAGGAAAGTTTTCACTTTTTCCTTGACAGTCTAGTATTTGTGAATTTGGAATTCGTGGGTGATAGTCATTTCACCATCTCATCGCTGAGAAGATGTATCATATGGGCTTGATGTACATTTCATCGGAAAAGAGGGGGGCAAACAACAAAACCAAGCCTTCTTACGGGAGTTAAAAGGTACCTTCGTATCAGCATTGCAACTGGTATATAATCTGTAGCAGTCCATCTAGGAAACCAAATGCTATCTAAGATGATATTTTTCATTAAGCCAGACCTTATTCTGGGAGTTAACTGGTCTATAGGTATCAGCATGGCAAAAGATATATAATCTATAGTAGTTCATTTGGTAAAGCAAATGCATTGGAAAATGGTATCTTTAATTAAGCCCTAATAAATATCCTCCCAATAAGACTGACTTGAAGAAACAATTGAAAAGGCAGACTTACGCTTGAGACGTTACATTTATCATTAGATTACTCAATTGAAACGGTAAAGGATTCTATATTGAATATTTTACTACAGATGTTTAAGAATTATTACATTAAAAATATACTTCAAAAAATTTTAATTTTACAGAATATTGTGCATATAATTAACTTATATGGGCAACAAAAAGCAAAAGTTTTACTTATAGAAAATTTGCATACCTGAATTCACTTCTCATTTCTAAATCCAAGACTGATTTTGTCCACGATCGTATCAAAGTTTTTTGTTCTTGATAAGCGAAGTCTGTTCTTTCAGTACCACAAAATTCTGTTTTCAGCCGTCCACTCGAATCATAAATATAAGTGACTCTCCCGCTATTATCAGGATACATCTTTGCTAGTAATTTTCCATAATCATTGAAATGCATCACAAATGGGAACTTGATGCCGGGGCTGAGATAAAGCAGTTTGTAGAAGCCTAAAGATGTCTGCATAGCCACTTCATGTTTGTGCCCATTTGGAGTGATAATAGTATGCAAACCACCAGCTGTGTCATATTGAAGAAGGTATCGACTTCCACTCGGTAGGATCAGTTCACTAGGCTGAAATAAGAGTTATAGAAATCTGGTTATATGTTTTCAATGATATTAGCTAAATATATATATTAGGCATTAAAAATGAATACGAGGCAGATCGTTGTGCCAGCTATGCAGGGTAGTGACCTTAGCTTCCAATAGATGGTGTTAGCTCGCCTACTGCATACATAGGAACAACAGTTTCATAAAAGCATTTAACCATTATACTAAAAACACAAGCAGAAATGGACCAAGGAATGATATTGCACCAAAAAGCAATAGCGAATTGCCGTTAAGAGCTTTGTTTAATGAAAGAATAAAAGCTACACAGGTTCATCGTCAAATGAATATTCATTCATGTACCTCATTTATATATGAATGAGGTAGGATGGTTCTCGTTGATCATGTACAGCTGTAACAGAAGACAGCACCAAAGTCGTGAAAAATATTGTTTGCGAACATCTCAGCATCACAGTGAAGATAATGGCATCATACTGCTCGACATAAGTACTGGGTAAGCAATACCCTGAGACGGAAGCCAACTCAGCGGATTTCAGGTAAGCCCATCTCGTCATTCACGTTTTCATAGCTGAAGATCCAACAATTATATAACAGGTGTGTGTATAAGTGCTTGACATTTCAAGTGAGAGATGGGTCGATCTTTCTAACAAATATTGCATCAAAGCAAGGCAGACGATAAAGCATTTTGAAGCACATCATCATTAGAGATAAGGGCTGGGCAGGGAGCCGGAGGAAGGGGCTCCCAGACCTGGCTAATTCGACGGTGCCTTACACAGTTCAAAACGCCCAACCTCCAGAAGCCATCCGAGAGGGCGCCACTTCTCCCGTTTAACCCAGGGCACTAAACAAAGTCAGACACCATCTGTCCCTAAGTGTTGACCAAGGGGCGCCACCCCCTTGGACAATCCACGATATCTGACAATGTAACGTCCCCACATCCAAGGGGCAGACAAGACAGCACCAGTAGGATCCCTGCCAAGCCTGAACCTGCCACCGAATAAACGATGGTTCTAGTCCTGTGAAGACTGTTTATTTACCCTAGAGGTCGAGGCTGTCTAGACATTGGTCTAGCCGGTTTGCTGGACAGAACCCCAGGTCTCCTCCGATAAAATGGTCAGTTCCGGAAATTCCAACCCAGTCGAACTACAGAGCTGGACAGTAGAACAGTCTTTCATGATTAAGATGAAGTTCCATCAATGGCACAAGAATGACTGTGCATTCATGAGGGCGAATGTTTTCCTTTGGTGTCTCATTTGTCAGCAATAATAGTTCAGAATAAACCATCACAATAAAGCTAGATGAAAATTATTTTGAGTTCTAGGTACTGTAATTATTTCAGTGTTTTTAAATAAATACTTTGTCAGCGAAAAATTCCTTTTTTTTCCACTTAACACAATAATAATTTACATGGAATTAATTGGTAAAACTGAAAAAAATATGGAATTTAAGTAATTAATATAATTTTAAACGCATACCATATCCACAACCTTCTTGTCATATTTGTACATTATTCCATTGTTGTCAGAATGCCGAACTTCGATTAGTCTACCCAGCATATCAAAATCATAGCCTTTGGTAAGATGTCCTCTTTCCCATTTCGTTAAACGTCCAAACTGATCAAATTCCACTTTAACAGGGGTTATGTTTTGTGGTGACTGCCATTGCACAGAGCGAGCCATTATGTTGTAGGTAGCCATTACCAGAGGAACTTGGTGGCGGTCATAAATAATTTCTGAATTCTGGAGTCGATCATAAACGACACTAAATATGAGCTCTCCATTTCTCTAAAAACAAAGATAATGTAATTAAATTGTAGCAATAAATATAAATTACTTCTGAACTTTTTAAAAAATTTTCATACTATAAAATCAAACTGATGATTTCTGCTGAACTGCTTTTTTAATTTAAATATTAATTTTGCGTATAAAATTAAAAAAAATGAAACATTAAAGTTTAGGGCAATTTAATTACAAGCCTATGAAAAGACAACAAAGCAAAATATATTGCCTATTGTCAGTGTGAATGCATATAAATTCAAGAAGTTGCTTTAATGTTTTCGCTAAATTAACAGCATAGGTATAATTTCGGAAAACATGTTTACTAAAAGACATCTCACCGATCTGAGGATAAAACAAAGAATAAAACTTGTTTTAAAAGTTTGTCATTTATTATAAGTTTAACCAAGATTGGAACTCTTAATTTATATTTCTTTTTTTATTTCAAAAAGCATTCTCATGGTGTGGTGAAAATAGTCTGACACATCGTCTATCGCAGTGCATAATTACCTAAATATCTTACTGATATACTGGCCAAAACTAAAACCTGAGTACCACGAAAGAAGACGGTACTATATTCAAATATTTACCATAGTAATCCAGCTAGTACAAGGTGTTCAATGTTTCTTAGATAATAATCAAATATGTAAGCGAGACCATAAAGCAAGAGATGCACGTTAGATCATTCCCAGCTTTACTTTGTAAGAAAGTAACAGCTTCAGGTTAATTCAACAGCTTACTTTGCAAAATATTAATAGTCTTATTTCATGTTCGTTTTTAGAACAATCATACAGAAATCTGTATGGAAACATGCATTTTTACATAAGTGACACGAGGCCCATGGAAAAACTAGGTGATCCTTTCAAGGAAACCCAACTGAGGAAAAAGTTGGAATGGCTGATGGATAAAAAATACCAGAGTGATGGATTACCAGTAATCACGCAGAAAAGGCTGTTTGAGCTGACAGAATGGCCATGGCAACAGAGGTGTTAGATCTGTAGTACATCTAATTATGAGCAGAACAGAGCAGTTTAAAATCGCTTCTTAGAGTAGGAATGAAATTACGTACAAACCAAAATTATAATCACCACCCTACAGGTGTGCAAAAGCATTTGCAATGGTATCATTAGGTGACAGGTGAAATTGAAGGGGACACCAGAATTTCACTATGGAATTTTACAGATATTATCCTTTCACACTGATCATTCAGAAGAAAGATTCTTAAATGGGTCATGCGAGTGCCGTGTTAGGCGAAACTTGCAATCTTTTGAGGCACTGGATGTTTAAACTGGTGATTTACCGGATGAGAGTGCATTCCACGCGCCTGCTATTTTTATGGGACGGAAGGCTATTATATTTGATTATTATTAAGATTACAGGCTTACTTCACCTGGGACTGCAGCATTCAAGAACGAAAGTTATATGCTAATGAAGATAGTAAAATCCATTCACAATTTCGGCAAAAAAAAACGTTTATGAGAAACCGGAAAATAATATCGTATTTTTAGTCAAATTGGAAAAAATAACTGTATAATACATTTTTTATTTTGACTCAACTATGCAATCATTCTCATCATCAACGATGCTTTGAAACGTAGTTGTAGAACAAACATGCTCTTGGTAAACAATACGAAAATTCCGTTTTTGACTTCTTCAGTATTTCGAAATTTTTTCCTCTCAAGAAATGTTACAACAACCTAACTAAATGTTAATCAAAGGAAGCGATGTAGTATGTGAATAAATTAAGTATACTTCAGCCAACCTATTCGCCTAACATACCTAACACCTTCCATCCCACTACTTTAGTTTTATTCACAGTCTTCCTAGCCCAGCTTCATGACGCCTTCTTAAAGAATCTTCATTCTTAAAGAATGACGCCTTTTCAGTTAATACGGGTTGGATACTTTTCATTCAAAGCCTGGTTTATTCGATCTAATTGTAGATCATAAAAATCTGAAGTTATGTTGTGATATGGCTCCAGGATCTCAAAATAGTCTATACCCCAAGTTTTCCTAAAAACAGGAAACAATATTTTTCTGGGACGTAAACTTTGTTTTTAGAGCAGCTAGTGGAATTTGATTTGGCCATTGATTTTTGGGATCGTCATCTTTTCTTTCTGCATAGCGTGAATGCAGATTCTTCTTTTCATAGCGTGATCTTGTAGAATGATGCTTTTCTATTAACAAGGGTTAGATAGTTTTCAATCAAAGCTTGGTTTACTCGATCTAATTGTGAATAATAAGAGTCTTAAGTATTGGTGTCATATAGTTCTCGAATCGCAAAATAGATTATATCCCAAGTTGTCCAACAAAGAGGTAATAGGATCTTTCTGAGACATAAGGTATGTAGTGGCTTTTGAATTTACAAAAGCCATTGATTTTTACATCTGGGATCGTCATAAAGAACCCATTTGTCATCTCAGTTTTTCTCATTTTGCAAGCACAACAATTTAATGGGGGATAGCAGGAAACCATGAAAATTTGAAAATACACAATCCTTCCACAAAACTTAAGGACTAGAGCTTTTCAACCTAACACAGCGAAATGATAAATTGTAATAATGATCCCTAAATCTTCTGCTGTAATTTTAAATAGAAGTTTTTATTTTATTCTATGCTATAGAAATATATTATTACAGATTAACATACTGATGGGTAGGAGTCAATAAAAGCTGCCTTCAAATAGAGCAACTTTTATTAAACATCTATGACAGAGAAGAATATAGCAGTTCTTAACCATCCCTCTTATTTGCCAGATTTAGCAATTAAGGCCTATTTTCTATTCCTTGGAATGAAATCTTACTTAAAAAGGGTAACATTTTGAGAACATTTCTTTCAAGGTGATGCTTGGGCATTCAATAGTATTCCAACGCTTGCCATCTAGAAGTTCTGTTAACGTATTAAAGCAGTAACGTAAAATCGAAACAATCGTCAAGTTGTCTATTTGCATATTGTCTTCATCAGTTTATTCTCATAACATTGCGATCCATCTCATCTCATTGGGTATTTAAACTGTAAATTTGGAATCAATTTATTAATCTACTGAAACTTATATTTTTGCTCTCTGCTTCCTAAAACATTTAAGTAAAACTCATTGAATCTGTAACTTATTCTTTCGGTTTCATACTTTGACTGATAAATGCGCTTTTGGAAGTACTGTGTTTCCCAAAGGATGTTACCAAGAAAGTCTAGTTTCAGCCATTGCTTTAACTGTGAATAAATACAGAATAAGTATTATCATGATATAACTACCGAAACGGACTTTGTGACGGAACTAGCAGAAGTCAATGATATTTACTTGTAATATTGATTAACAGGAGCTTAACAGCAATTTGAAATCAGTAGTATTAATTTCTGAGAATACTCAAAGGCAAGTAAATAATACTTTCGACCAAAAATTAATTATATGTTACTTTAATAATATAGAAATATGAATGGAACCAGCCGCAATCAATGCTATTTATTTACAATATTGATTAACAAAATCATAATAGATGTTTGAAGTCAGTAGCAAATTTCTGAAGATTACTCAAAGGCAAGTAAATTATACATATTGTTTTAATAATATACAAATACAAATCCAGAATACAAATTAATGGACAGAGCTGCAGTTTTGTCAGAGTACTGTGACAACACCTAACACAGCATATTAGTTTGAGAGGATGAGACATCCACCCAGCTGACCTGTGGATTTGATGAATGAACTTTGCACTTGTTGGAGTATGGGTTTTGGTTCCTCGTTTTCGGAGAGGAGTTAGTAAAGAACAAATAAATATCGTGCTTTAATTGTGCTAAAAATTTGAGTTCCTGAAAACTCGCAAGTAGTGGTAAATGATATTTGGTAATTTTTAGTTATGCTAAAAAGACATAGTTCCAATAAGCATTTTAATTCAGTCTTGAATTTAATTTGTGCTTAGAGTTTAATTAAGCTTTTGTTTAGTTTGTGAAAAGTATAATTTGTTGAAACAAGACGGGTTGACTAAATTCTAATTTACATAGAAAAATATATTTTAACTTTGCAGACAAATTCCGAAATCTTTAATCCTAAATTCAATAAATTAAGTTAATTTTCCAGAACTCTGGAGACTATAAACAAAAGAAAACAATATTTGAGACTGAGAATATTAGGAACACTAAAATTATAACTTAATTAGAAACTTAGCTACCTTGAATTTTCTTCCTACTCGTGTAATATCCCGATTGCCATTTTTACCATCGGCATGGACAAAGTAATGCCATTCCAGATATTGGACATTATCATCACTGAAGGCCATGCGCATTCTAGACGGAACTGGAAACATCTCTCCTGATACTGGATTTGAAGTGGACAGCACTGGATTCGGGACGGTCTCGACATCGACTTTGCTGGAATCTCTTTGAATTACAGACAAACTTCCATCTTGGTGCTGTGTTATTCGTTCTTCTGTTAAACCTAGACATGAACAATGTCCTCAAATAAATATTCACAACAAGCTTTGATAGGATCTAATTAATAAAGTCTTTTTACGTTTAAACTTACACTCATTAAATCAGTCCATTTCAACGCTTTTACTACAGAAATAATGTTTTACATTACAATGTACAGTACAATTGTTTGACAGATCATTCACTTGAAAATTTTAGCTCACGTTTTATTACTGAAAACAAGTTTTTGTTACTGATGAAGAGGGGTCTCGGATTATCTAGAAATTCACTTACAATTTAGAATTAACATCTATATTTGTTGAGGTTTGTTGTTTACTAAATTTGGAACTCAGTTTTGAGTTTACCGCTTTTATATATTTTTAACTTATTAAACTTCGAAGAAAGTATATTGTTTTCAATTAACATAAAATATCACGTCTTTGCAAAATAAAATCTCCAGACACGATCATGGTTCAGAACTGAACTTTACGAAGGGATCTAGTGGATGCATTCTGTGGCGAGTGGTGCGATTCCATGCCACCTGAAACTTTTAATTTCCGCCATTGTGCTTAGCTGATTCTCGGTGTTGCTATTCAACAAAGCGTAAGATCTTTAATTTTCTTTTCCAGATTTAATCAAATTGTTATTCAGAATCTCAGTGATTTAAAATGATTGAACGTTGTCTTTAATTCCTTCAAGCTTCTTTATTTGAATAATGTGTAGAACTGATACGTAAATTAAAACACGTTTAAGCTATGATGTATCCTTATGATGTTTTATGAACATTTTCAGTTTTGCTGAAGTTAATAAAAGTTATTGCCTTAAACTGCTTACCCTTTCGAACTCGTCAGGAGCTCACCAATGTTGTTGGATCAGTGAAATTGCCAGTGATTTAAGAGATTTTCTTTCTGTGCGTGTTTCATGTTATATGGGATCTTTATCTCCGCCTTTCCACAGTCATTGTCAACAAGGTTGCATTAAAATTTTGTTTCTTCGGTCTCAGTACCTCACGATCATTCTGGGCAATGATCGGATTAACCAGATCGTTGCTCAGGAGGATCTCAGGGATTGGGATGATCTACACAATGATCAGCTGCAGCATATTTAGTTGTAAACGCAAATGCAAATGTACTTTTGACATACGTGAGTCAAATTTCTTGTAATTTTATTTTCTTATATTTTTTAATATTTTAATTATTATTTGTTTTTTATTATTTATATTTTTATATTTATAAATCTTTATTTTCTTATATTTTTTATATTTTCAGTTATTAGTCCGAAGGGGCTTTGTTCCTGAAGGACTATTGATTTCGTTTTGCGATTTTGCGTTGAATCACTATAAATGTCCGTTTCACTTTTCAAACTATTGCGATCAAATGTTAGAGTCCTGCATTATATTTGAAGAAATTAAATAATGAAAAATCTGCATAAATGTATGCATATTTCTCGCATTATGATAAAACAACGGTACATAGAGCCATCGAATTTTGAATGACGTAATCCTCCTACGAACATGGGCATGTGGAAGCCCAAATTTGAAATTTGGAATTTCTTTTATGATAGATTTTGTAAAACTTTAAGGAGTTTTTGATTAACAAACTTAACGATTTAAAAGCGAGCAATGGCAACACTCTACAGCGGGTAAAAAAACCTTTTTACCTCCAGCGGGCGCGGAACTGTATCGGAAATTCTAAAGATAGGCTCATTTTAAAATGATTTTGCGACATTGATACTGAACTGAATTATTATTAAATATCGCAAAGAACACGATATTTAATAAATAAAGGTAACATACAAAAAGTTAAAAAAATAGCTCTTTGGACGTAATTTAAAATCTGAAACCTTTCCGAATTTTTTTTAAATCTTGTTTTTTATTATTATTTATATATTTTTATATTTATAAATCTTTATTTTCTTATTTTTTGTATTAATATATAAAACACTTCCCCAAATATAAGTATAGGAACCGAGATAAAACATTAAAAGTTAGATTTTGGTATTTGTCCATAATTAATTTCCCAAATGATTTTTTTTTTTAAAAATTTGACATAGTCAGGACATGAATATTTTCATCAATTAAAAAATTTCTGTAATTGGAATTATATGACTACAACTCCAACCATCGCGAAAATAAAGGGGTGACAGTCCCCACCCCTTTATTTAATTTTTATTTATTTTTATCCGTCTTTATTTTTATCCGTCTGGGGACTGTTAAGCCGGTTAAGTGGTGGATGTATATTTATTTTATGGTGGATTTAGTGGTGGATGTATATATACGTTTCGTAATGTCGATTGAAATAGAAAGCAGAGGAGAATAACTAGATTTTGTTACAGTTCCATATACAAAATTTCAACGTTCTACGGCTAATCGTTTTTGAGTTATGCGAGATACATACAAACGCACATATGTAGGTACGTATGTAGGCACGTATGTGTCACGAAAAAAAAAAAAATCCCTTTTAAATAAATTTTACAATCTGTTTCGGAAAACGAGTTCTTTATTCTGTCGGTACGTACAAATGTCATGCGTAACAAAAACGTCCAAACTGATGCGAGAAAGATCAAATGGATATTTCCGTTGAAATATGATACGCGAAATTTTTCGCGATTACAATACTTCCTTTACTTCGACCAAGAAAGTTAAAACATAATTTCGAATTTTAATATAGTGGTCGCAATAACACATTATATTTACTCAAATGAGTAGTCGCTTTGTAGTTTAGCTTGTATATGCCTTTCAGTACCCTCCGTTTTGTGTATTTCTTCGAATTGCCTTGTTAGTGTGATATTTAGTTTGTTCTGATTCGTTTTATAATGATACGTTTTTAAATTTATTTCCTTTAATTGCTTTATCATATATGCTCTTTCCTATTTATAATGCCACCCGCTTCAGTGTCGTTATTCTTAATTCTTTGATGCGCTTCCTGATTTCAGTGTCTCCTTCTCAAATTAAATTTCTTCATTTTGAATACCATTAGCGAAGTTTTTTTGGTAATTGGTGAAGCTTTTGAAAAGAGAAATTTTGCGCTGTATTCGAGGAAATACAAAAACATTTTATTTTCGATCTGTCAATGGGATGCTATTCGAAGATAATTTATTCCTAAATTATGAGTCAATGATCGAAAAGTCTGTAGCATCTGAACGCGAATAGTTCATTATTCGTAAGCTCACGCTGACGGTCTGAATACAAATAAAAAAAAATCAGCAGAATTTTCTGCCTTTTTCAAATATTCTAATTTAGGGATTATGAACGTCGAAATCTACTTACCAATTCTTGCGGTAACATCTGAGCCTTTGATAAGTAAAGAAACAGGATCTTTGTCATCTCTCGTGATTGTCACCGAGGCTCCCTTCAAACTGAGATTATAAGTGAGACGAATTACCTGCCCACTAGGTGTCACAGATTCTGTCAGTCGGCCATACTCATCAAAATTATACATGTAGGTCAGTCCTGTGCTGTCTTCTTTGCTTTTCAGAAGACCTGTACTACCGTGGTAATCAAAAATAGTCTTGAATTCGGACGGAGTAGTGAAACCATGCAACATCATCATCCTGGACATTTCCAAGCGACATTTTCCTCCTTGCGTGTTCTCTATTGTATTGACCTGCAGAGTGAATACAATTGTTTCATTATAAAATAACACGAAAATTTCATAAGGAAGATATATCTACTAGTTCCTAAAATAACATGCGATGAACAGTAATCTTTTCATACAATTTATATTACCCAGTACATTATTTGAATAAAACCTAAAGGATGCTTTTACATAAAACATATACTAGTCGAAATGCTCTTAGGGAAAATCTAAATGTCTATTTTACTTCCAGAATGCTATGATTCATCTCATGAGCTCCACTTTTAGACAGCATAAAAACATTTAAACTGCAAAAAACTTGCCACTTTCAGGAGGGAAACAACTATAGAAGCTTTCATAGATGTCTTTCAGTTTATGTACCCATTCGCGGATGTAATCAATTATGTGTAGAGATAATTTTTATTATGTACAGTAAATTCTTGTCGGACGTGGATTTGGGGAACGCGATTTTGCGTATATGTGTTATCGTTTCAAAGTTTTTCTAATTCTGGGTAATGATGCAGGATGCTGTGCTGAAGCCCTCACAACAAAATCATTCAAATGTAGCGATCTTATTCCTTGCACCTAACATCACTTGCTTAATCCAACCAATGGATCATGGAATCATAAAGGCATTCGAAACCTACTTTGTCACGCATGTTTACATTTTTGAAACTAAAGCACGATACCCTAATGGCACTTTGGAAGCAATTCATCATAATCATTGCGGAGAATTGATGAAACTAACATAAGAACATGTTTCATCAACAACAAATGTTTGCTGGCATCAGCTGTGGTCAGAAGTTGTCAACAATTTTAAAGAATTTCTATCGATTGGAAATAAAGCTAATGAAATCGTACAAACTACAAAAAGAACAGCCGGAAATGGATTTTTAGATTGAAAGAAAAAGAAATCACAGAATTAGTCGAGAATGATGATCATGAAATGATAAATGAAGAACGGTTTTATCTTATAACACTAGAAGATTGCGCAAGCAGCGGTAGGGAAGAAGCAGCCTTAAAGTACAAGAAATTGAATGAATTGTTTAAAAAAAGCATAAGAACTCTCTGATTTTGTAATGGAGTCTGACCCAAATGAAGAAGCAAAAGAACACTTTATGAGAGGTATTGAAAAACTTTGCCCACCTTCCCGCGACACCTTGACTGGGTTTTCTCAGACATTGTCCGAAACAAAAATAACCAGCTTTTAAAAAAGTAATTTTATCATATATCTACAAATTAAGCATCAATATAAATCATTTCAGTGAACATTTGTTTCACGTTTTCCTTCTAATTAATCTTCTAACAATGCTTAGGTTTGTGTAAATTATACATACTTTCTTAATCTGAACTATATCCAACTCGTTTTATCTATAGAAAGTTAGTTTTGAGAAATGTGGTTTTGCTGTACACGCAATGTGTTAATAACGTAACCCCTGCGTTCAACAAGAGTTTATAATGTTCCACATAGAAAATCATGCGTACGAGTTTTTTGTTGTCAATTCAAAATACATTAACATATTTTTGAAGAATTTGAAGCAAATCAGCAACAGAATTACAAGGTTATTTTCATGGAATTTCTTCTGTAAACTTGTGAAATTTTAATTCACTCAGTTCTTAATGTCTCAGTGTCAACTTTGTTGAGACGACGTACTATTATTTCAGTATAAACTTATCAATAAGTAAAATGTAAAAGACAAGGTTAGATTTTCAAATACGCTCTCACCTGCCTTGAGTATTGTGACTAATATCCTTTGGTTGTTGTTTTAGTTTAGCTGTAGTTCTAAAGGATAAGACGACTAAAAAGTGATAATTCATCTCAGGTTTGCTTCTTGTCAAATGAGTTGGGTGCACTGGGCTTTAGTGTTTCCTCTAATGCGTAGCGTTAATGTGAGCTTGTTTTCCTCAGAAAATCTCAAACAATCATCTATTTCTTTAAACATATATCCCCCGAATATTGACCCTTAATCAGTTAAGCAACCAAAAAGCCATTTTGACGAAAATGTAGTTTAGTCAGCATCTGCTTTCCTGGTGAGCCAGACTGAAATTTCTCCTGGCTAGGATAATTTGAATTTCATAAATTGAATTTAATTGAATATAGCATTCTTATTACTAAGATTATATTAACTGTAAGCTACTATTAATTTGGCCCTGGTGTCTTTAATTAACCGTAACATGTAAGTTTTATTAATTTGCTGCTTCGCTAGTTATAAAAGGATGAAAGTATTTTAGTTCGCTTTTCCTCTTAGTGTCTATTTTCTAATTAGTGAAATACTTTTCTTAGAAAATGAAATAATTTTGAAACATGTTATCCTTTTTCTACCATTTATAGCTACCGGCTACCTTTCTTTCGTGTTCAATGAATGGAGAGAATTTCAGAAATGCATCAGAAAATGTGCAGTACTTATTGAACCAAATCACTTATGCAAACAGACATAGTAGAACAGTTGGTTTGCATTTATTTTCTAACTACTGTAGTCCATTGGGAGCGAAATAGATAATATCATTGACCACTAGTATTTCGATATGGCTTCAGGTCCAGCAAACTGGCTAGTTGCATGGGCGTTTTATGACCTTCCTCATGTATTACGTGAATAAAAACTTGTTCTCCTTAAAACTCTTCCACGAAGCCATTCCTCTCCGTAGATAGTTTTAGTATACTTTGCGATAGTTATCCAGTCTAACTAAAATTGTTCAGTCTGGAAAATATTAATAACTTAAGTTTGCATTAGAATCAGATTAAAATTCTATAGCTAATTTTTTTTAGATATTACAATCAAGTTTCGAAAATATATTTTTGCGATTTATTTTTTAAGTTTACTTAGTTTATTTTTAATTTTAGTTTTTTTATTTATTAATATTTTAGTTTAAACTATATTACCTAGTGAATAATAATAATTAAAAATATTGCGAATGAAGACACTAATGCTCCAAAAGTTAAATTGATTGTTTGATTGCTGTGTCTTATTGCCTAAGCAAAAGTGTGTAAATAATTATTCTTTAGTTTAGTAGTTTCTGTTTATTTGCTGTAAGCCAGATTTCATTTTCTGTGGTATTTCCTGCCACAACTGTTAAACCATAATTTGAATGTGCGAAAGAAATATTTTGTAACTTTTATATATCTTCGTTTTAGAACACAATGTGAACGAAAAATCTGTCTCAGCGAATAGCTGAACACACATGAACATGGCTCTGGGTTTGGATCGTATAAAAGTCGAGATTTAAAATCGTAAGACTACTTCTTGCGGGAGACGGCAAGGTGGTTAGAGACTGAGACTGCCGTACCGAAGAGCCCGGGTTCGAATCCTAGAGAAGCCATGGATGTAAGTTTTCCGACCATTCAACGAGGCAACGGTATTTCATTTGTTTGGTGCCTTCTTAATAAAGAGACCACCGCTTCCGGCCTTAGTAGTGGCCAACGCCTATAAACAGTTAAAACTCGCCATTTGGGGGGAGTAACTTCTTGGGGGATACATCAAAGATCGAGTTTTTGATCTAGAGGGTAACACATAGCACATCTGTAACCTAGGCCATATGAATACTTTACAACCCTTTCTTTTAGTTATGTAAATATATCAGTCTTGCTATTAAAATTCTTGACCTCCACAAACTTTTAAAATGCAAAATGCTAAAATTTCATTTGGGTTAACTCTGAATTTTATATATTGTGACTTCTGAATGGCTTCCAGTTCATTCCAAATTCTTCTTGTGAAGAAAAGATAGCCAGTGACAAAAAAGTCAGGAAATTTTCTTCACTACTTCGCATTTCCAGAAAAACAAATAATTAACAAAGTGTTACTTAAAAATTTCAAAGTGTAATCCAGCATTCAAAATTTAGAAGTGTAATGGAACATTTAAAGTTTAAAAATCAATTCATTTTGGGGACAGTGAGGGTATAAAAATTTATATTTTCGATTTTGTTTCTTAAATTAACCCTTACAAGCATCCATTCTGCCTAATCTAATTCTTTATATTATAGTTGGGTGAAATTTGTTTAAAATGAACACTTAACCTAACGACTAAGAGTTATCTGAAACTGTTGGTGAGTTATCGGCTTTCAAGCCAGGCCGATAATGCAGATGCAACCATTTAACTGCAGACACAAAAACAAGTCAAATTAAAATCCAGATAAAATGAATTGAGTCATAGTTTGACCTTATCAGCTAAACCTTTAACTCGAAAGTAGAAATGAGGAGACTCTCCAGTATACATTTTATGTGCCAAACGCGAATTTGACGAGCGAGAGTATTAAATATTTCAGAACCACATACATTTTTTTTCTAATTTGTAAAAACATTTATTACGATGTTTATATATTCACTTGCCTGCTTTTTTGTCTCTTGTGGACAACAGTGCATCGTGTGAAAGTAAATGTAAGTTAAAAGGTTAAAATAACTTACTAACAGCGTAACTATTAATCTGCGCTAAAGCATGAAACGATGCAGCAAAAACCAGTGTTCAGTGACACGGCGGCGGATACTCTAACAGGCCACAGTTAAAATTGAACTCCTCCTTTCGACTATACTGCATGTCTTTAAATTTGCATGACAGTCTGGTCTGAGCGAAATGTATTACATCAGCCAAGAAGGGTAACAGAACTTTTAACTCAAAATCTAAATGTTAGTACAGTTTAGAAATGTCGCTACATCATTTACAATATTTTTGAAATTGATTATACTGGTATAGTATCAAATCTTAGGAAAACAAAATTCACGTTATTGGGTTTTCCAGTTTCTTGTGATATGACAAGGGGTATTGTACGCTTATAAGTAATTAGAAAAAGTCTTTTACTGACAAGAAGAATTAAAATTAAAAGAGCATTATAATATATTGGATTACTAGTAAGAGAAAATAAATTTAGGCACAAAGTCATGCCCCTTACCTGATTGCTATAATCTCTGAGAATGTAGATTTTATTCCCCGCTGCGTCTGTTACAGTACTTAACTTCCCATAGCTTGTATTGCTATTATATGTGAAAACATAGGTATCTTTTCCACTGATAGTGTTCTTCGTGAAAGTGTGGTGCCCGTGGCGATTGAAGACATAAATCTCTTGAGATTCTGGCGAATGAATCTCATACTCACTTCTGCTGTTCAGTTGTGGCAGGGAAGCTGTCACTGACCGAATCCTTAAGTTGCCTTGGTCGCAGATGTGAAGCAATCCATCTTGTGAAACCGTGATGGAGGAGATAGTGCTAAGTTTCGTCGTAGCTGCTAAGACGTGCTCCTCGTCGAAGCAAGAACAGGATTCTTCCAAGCAACTGCACTTCGATTCGGATCCAGCAAAGCGAGAAATTCGACCATCACTTCCAATCATACGCACTCTGTTCACGGTCTGGGAGTCACTTTCGGCAATATAAAGGTCACCGTTAGGTGCAAATGCAATTCCCTGCGGCGATTCTAAGTAGACATCCGTCGCTAGATCACTCTTTTCGCGGCTGTTGGCAGCAGATTGTGGAGGGCATTGAAGAGAACGGCCAGCTACTATCTTCAGTCTTTTGTCTGGCGTGACTCTTAATACAAGATGGTCGTCCAATATGTGCAAGGAATCATCCAAAGGGTTGATGGCTAGTTCTGTCGGCCAGCGAAGGTTAACCTAAGGTAGGTAATGAAAGTAAAAGTGACATCTTTAAACATTCATTTTTTAAAATTACATTTAGGAATATACTGATCATATATTTAATTCTTTGTTACCCACTATTCTAGTTTTTCTCATTTATCGATAACACGAGTTGTATCTAGCTATAACATATCAGATAGGGAGTAGGTAGAGTTCTTCCGTTATACTTTCTAGGAAACGATGAAGTGTAATTAGATTGGTAATTTTGGTTTGTTATAATTCTGGTAACTAATTCACAGAAGGCTTATTGTGGGCTAATTTTGCACTCGCGAATATTACTTTGATTTTATTAGTTAACATATTAAATAACTGAGCACATACCTAGGATATTCGCTTGAAATTTATTATGACATATTCTTAACCTTTATACAGAATACTGTGTTGGGATGACAGTGGTTAGCACATTGAATATTTTAATACGTATTATTGAAATGCACATGAACACATTTAGTATATGAAAATATATATACACTAAAAAATTGGGAATTTTTCAAAATTTTGCATTCTTGATAACCACCAGGAATGAGAATTAGTTAGATAAAATATGTAGTAGCTCGCAATAAATATCTCTTCTTGTATAGAAGGTTACATTTTTCAAAGTTTAGTTTTTGAAGGATTCGATGCTTTATTTCTTGGAAATTAAAATTTGATTTATTATTTCACAGATGCTTCGTGAATGGTATTCACATTACAGTGATGCTTGGTACATGTCAAATATTCTTTTAATTTGGAGCATTGTTACTTATTTTGGTTGTGAACAAAATTGACGTTTACTAGACCACTAAAACTAAACTGATTGAACGTAGATCTGATGTGCCAAAAAAGGTTTTTGCGTGTATAGAACTGAATTATTTAAAATGTTAATCCCTGGAGTCGTGAAGACAGCCTGTAATTTATCGTCCTCTTCTTCAGTAAAGCTACAATAATTCAAGGAAAGGTTTAGTTTAAATTTTTTATTAGCTCTTTAACTTAACAATTTACACAGCTTGTGTAATAGCAGAAAGACTCCACTGCTTGCGCGATTAACAGAACACAAAATCTAAAACAGAACTTAAGAATTTCAAATACGAGGTGGTCGAGACTGGTAAAGGCTAGCAGAGCCCGTTCAAATAAAGCGCTAACCTGGGACACAATCATATCGAGATGGCCAGAGATGGCTGCCAAAAGTTCTCCCTCAAATTAAAAAATACTGTTCTTGGATACATTAACTAATTGATATCCTGTTGGGAGTCGGCTAAAGTAGAAGTGATAATGCAGGCAAAATAATAAAATAGCTTGCTAATAAACATAAAACTATACAAATCAATATTTGTATTTTAAAATGTATTGGAAACTGCAATGTTTTATATATAATGTACAAAATATTAACTCATAAATAAATAAACGTATAAAGGGGGATGAAAATATTTTTCGCTTTTAACTATATAGGAAACAGTGACTTCTCGAAATGTTATATTTCAATTATTGACTTTTCTAAACAAACTTTTCTAAAATGTAATCAAACTTTTCTAAAATGTAATCTCTGTAGAAAGGAGGCAAAGGGGAAAAATCATTAATGTTATATCTACTTCAGTATTCTTATCCTATATAAAAAAATGCCTTTCTTTTTAACTTTGATCGTCTGATCATCTATTGATGACCATCAAGTTGTCAAGTGTTATAAGGAATCAGATTTAGTGGCAAAGTTCTCAATTTTCATCTCATCTACTATGATCATCGGAAGGCTACCATGGTGAAAAATCATTTAATATTTGAAACAGTAGTACTTATTTAATACTTGCCACATTGTTACATTTAATACTAGACATGTTCATCCTTTATGCCGCTGAAAATGCTCAGATAATCAACTACTTCTTAAATCTCATCCCTCCCACTGTAAATGCCTGTACAGTTTTTGTCTTTCGAAAATGCTGTAGGTATTTTTGTCTTTCACAACTAACAATTATCAGAATTTTGGTAACTACTTCGTTCTTGGCAACTTTTAAGGTAATGGTGCTCCGGTCGCGGACACTTAGCCAACAGCCGCTTAGCTGACGAGACACTTGTCAAGAGGGATAGTTGTCAAGAGGGATAGAGTTACTATCACTCTTGACAACTGTTCGGCCAAAAGGATTTGAACTACCTCATCACTCCAACAAACCTGTAGTGCCCAAAGATAGCCTAATACCTCACTATTAGTTGATCGGAAACAAACAAAATAGAAATGCTTTTATCTTCTTGTATGAAATGGAATAAGAAATAGCCGATTGTGTCGATATTCTTGTGTGACTACATACTATCTCTAATTATTAGTTTAAAATAATGCGATAACCTAAGTAACTGTAACCAATGACATAGCATCAATAATTATCGATTTAGAACAAAATCTGATTTTTTAATAAGTTAATAACATTTAGAACAGACAGTAGTATAAAATACGGCCTTAGAATACAGAGTTTCTAAAATTTTTCTATAGCATAGTGCTTATTCTAAATGGCTATCTTTCATATAGCCATTTACGCCCAAAAATTTACGTCAATTAAACTTCCTACTTATTTGGTCTTAATAATAACTGCAACTTGATTTTTGGAAATGTCCTATCCGGTTTCAGTGCGGACATTCTTTCAAGTTAAAACATTACAACTCATATCACAACCAGCATTCTATTATATATATATAAATAAGTGTAATCTTAAAGATAAATTAACTGGGAAAAATAAAGTTTTCACGCTGCCACATGAATTATAAGCACAGGTATGTTGCTAGGCTAAAATACATGAAATCTTATATATATCCATAAACCTAATTCTTTTTCACACAGGAAGTTGAACGAAATTACGCTACGAATAAAGCAGCCGAAAAAGAAAATATTTAAATATTTACCTGACGTAAGCTGAGTGTAGCAAAACAAGGTATTGGACGCCAGCTTTTGTGATAATAATCACCAATAAGTCTATGAATGATCCCACGAGCATCAACGAATCTAATATTGGTGCCATCAGCAATATAGATTACGCCATGTTTGGTAATGGTAATACCTAATTAGGAGAAAATACATATGTAACACAAAGTTAATAATTAAGTTATTTTAATACATAGATGAAAATGTTTCTCTAAAAGCATGTTGTTTACTTAGTTAGGTGGACATAAATTTTCAGAAAAGCATTTATTTTATAGAATAATTAGTTTCATTCATCTTTCATAATTAAGTTTCTTTTTGTATTACTAATACAAAACAATTGTTTAATCTATGATATAGCATCAATAATTATCGATTTAGAACAAAATCTGATTTTAAAATCAAAGAACTAGTTGATTGAGGTGAAGCTAATGCTTTCCAGTTCAGTCATAATCCTTTGCTCCCAGCTTCTCAGAAAATGCAATTTTCTCTTTAATATGTGCATCTCAAAGGACACTTTTGATTCTAAAACGGTCATTTTTTAACTTGGTGTATTTGTAAGATTTCTTAACTAATTACAGTCAAACTCCGCTATAACGAGTTTCATATAAGATATTTCATAGGGTCACATGTTTGGTTCGCTTCATCTAAGACGATAAGAAAAACGAATTATCTCACAGAAAAACGTAAAAATTAACTAATGAAAAAATAATAATAAAAGTAAACAATTAAAAAAAATCTGAAAGCTTTCGGATTTTATATTACGCCCAAACGGGTGGTTTTTTAGTTTTCATTTACAGACACATAAACGTTTCGAGAACATTTGGGTTAACGACCGTTTGGGCTAAAAATATTTAAAAACAGCATGTCCTTAGAATTTCCGACAGAAAGTCTCGCGCGCTGCAAATAAAAATGTTTTATTCCCTACAGTGTTGCCACTGCTCCCTTTCAAATTGTCGAGTTTTTTAATCAAAAATTCGTTAAACTTAAAAATAATATGAAATAGATAATAAAACAATTTCCAAATTCGGGCTTCCTGGTGCCCATGTTCGTGTAGAGGTCTACGTTGTTCAAAATTTGATGACTCTAGGTACCTTTTTCTCTACAGTGCGATAAATATGTATACATTTATAAAAAAAATCTTCATTACTTTGTTGTAACAGACCTATTTAAGTGTAATTGAACTATTTTATTCACGCCATAAACTCATGAACTGTAACCGAACTATTTTATTTAAACGCCATCTCGTGGCGATATGAAAAAACGTCAGTCGAACTCTAGCCGCCATGATGTTAGTTTACTATGTCTCTGATATTTAATTGTTTGATGTTCCATTTGGTATCTGTTTCATTTTTATGTATATTTCTTTTGTTTGTAACCGTTCCTGTGTGCTCTGTTAATAAATCGTTTTAAAGCTAGTCGGCATTAGTGTCTATTGAGGAACGGCTACATCACATTGGCCCCCAATTATTATTGTTTACATTTATAAATACTGTTTAATAGTGGTATATAAATGTACGAGTAACATTGTTTACATTCATACATGCTGTTTAATAGGGGTATATACATTTTACTTAAAGGTATAATTATTAATTCTAAAATACTGTATTGTGAATAAAATCGAAATAACAACAAATTCAACTTCATCTTTCCCTCCCCCCCCCTGACCTCTCATATAATTATGGCTTACCTTGCCAAAGCACGAAAAGAGGATTTAAAAACTCTCGCTGCAGAACTGGGTTTCACTGTAAACGACACTATGCGAGTAGTAGATCTTAAAGATCTACTACTCTTTATCTTTTACCAGGAATCTTCTGGAAACTTTAATGGAAACTAGACAACAAAAACAACGTGAAAGCAACGATCTGAGACACGTCAAAGAAAAGAACAAGAACTTTTATTAGAATTGGAACGTTTAAAATTAAACCTGGCAGCTGCTAGCTCAAACCCTAACTATGCTGCCTTTGCTTTAAATGCAGCTATTGGAACAAATATTCAACACCTAATCCCTAAATTTACAGGAACTTCTGACATTGCAACCTACCTGCAAATTTTTGAAAGACAATGTGAGAAAGTTAATATAAAACAAATAGATTACGTCACTCATCTCCTACCTCTTCTGCCTATAGACATTTCGCAAATTATTTTAAGAGAACCAAAAGACAAATTAGAAGATTATTCTTACATCAAGAAGATTCTGCTAACAAGATTAAATTAAATGCTGAATCATTTCGAATTAAACTTACTACACACCAAAAACACCCTAGGTCCTTATGGAAAGATTTTGCTTACGAATTAAACAATTATCTCGAAGAGTGGCTTCATAGTCTCGATGTTACAGACTTTGAATCACTCAAAGACTTGGTCCTGACGGATCAGCTTAAAAGAAGAGTCAGTAGGGACGTTAAAGAGCATTTTATTAATACTTGGGGAAAAATAAAGAGTTCATCTGAATTAGTACAGAAATTGGATGACTATGAAGCTGTACGTGTTAAAAATACGAACTATAAAACTCAACTTCCTGGCAGGCGGAACTATTCTTACAAATCGACTAATCCATCCAAACACAAAGTAGAAAATCGAACAAGTGACATACAGGGAACTCATAAAACCTTTTTAAATCGTAGTCAGCAACAAACAGAAGGAACGTGACCTCCTTTAACATGCTATGGGTGCGGAAAAACTGGTTTTATCAAGTCTAAATGTCCAGACTGTAATCCCCCAAAGACTTCAAATTCATCAAATTTTGGCACTATCTAAATCCGATCCTGTTTATCTTCCCCTCGGACTGCTGTATTTCGAATTAGTATTGGTGGTGTTTCCGGTACAGCTTTCGCCGACAGTGGTGCTAGTCACTCAATCGCAAGTGAATCCCTCTATCATATTCTGCAGAAACAAGATGCAGTATTTGAAAAGAAAACACTACAGGTGTCTTTCGCTGATGGTTTGGTATCTGAAAAAGAGGTACTTCGCACCGAACAAATTATTCTTCTCGAAGGCAGAGAGTTCAAAACTCCACTCCTTGTGTTGCCTGATGCCAAAAATAACTCGACTCTGTTAGGAATTGACTTTCTTCAAAAAGCTAAAATTGTTTTAAATCTTGCTGAAAATAGGTGGAACTTTTCTGATGAACCTCGAAGAAAATATAGCTTCGTGAAACCTCATCAATCCCAAGTACTGGAAGAAACCCCAGTTGTTGTAAACAACTGCCGACTACGAGAAAATGAAGGACAGCAATTAACTACAGCCCAACTATTTGCAACTGATGCATTGCTTAACAAATATCACACTGTCTTCAAAGTAGGGGGAGAAGCCACTAATCAAAAGCCATCTGGCTTACTTCAAACTCCAGTCTATGCTCAACGTTTTGAGACCTTGTCAATTGATCTTTTCGGTCCCCTTCCTGAAACATCGTCTGGTGAAAAATGGATTTTTATTGTGCAGGACTGTGCCACGAAGTGGACAGAACTATTTGCTTTAAAGGAAGCCACCGCCAGAGAATGTGCCACTATTCTTTTGGAAGAAGTCGCCCTTCGATTTGGGTTACCCAGGAAAATAATAAGTGATAATGGTACCCAGTTTACTAGTGCTGTTATGCAATAACTATGCTATATCTTGAACATTGATCAAAGTCTTACTCCTGTCTATCACCCACAATCTAACCCAGTTGAAAGGAAGAATAGAGATCTGAAATTACGTTTAGCAATACTTTTTGGTAACGATCATGGAAGGATAAACTGCCATTAATAAGGATTGCTTTGAATACAGCCAAATGTGATTCAACTGGACTTTCTGCTTCTTTTCTTCAATTTGCACGAGAGTTACGAACCTTAGATGATGTAAAGCATGATATAAAAGCCGTAATTGAGAACGATAATTTTGTTCCCGAAATTACTCCATATTTGAAACGTTTTGCAAGAAATGTACAACAGGTACGAGAAAGAGTCGAAATGCATCAAGATAAGCAGAAACGATATGCTGACAAAAAACGAAGAGAAACACCGAAATTCGTTCCTGGAGATAAAGTTTGGGTCACCCTCCACCCAATCAGCAAAGGTCCACTGAAGAAAACTGCTAAATTCATGCCCAAGAGAGATGGTCCTTATGTGATAGTGACTACAAGATCTCCAACAACATATGATATTGCCGATTGTTTGTCATGAACCAGACAAAGTTCTCGGCAAGTATCATGTTTCAGCCTTGAAACCATATCAAGATCGAAATAAGCAAAACTCAGCTCGTGTAATTCCAGTGGTTCCCTTAAAGAAAAGAGGACGCCCGAAACGTGTAATACCATCCGAATCTGCACCTGTTGCACAAGGTGCTGGTGACGCAAAATCTACTCCTCGTCAAACTGGAGCCCGTCCATCTGATTCTCCGCCCGCTGCACAAAGTAGACAAATGTCAGTTCCTGACTTCTTGCCGAGACGTCTACGAAGTCACAGGGGGAGGATGTAACAGACCTATTTAAGTGTAATTGAACTATTTTATTCACGCCATGAACTCATGAACTGTAACCGAACTATTTTATTTAAACGCCATCTCGTGGCGATATGAAAAAACGTCAGTCGAACTCCAGCCGCCATGATGTTAGTTTACTATGTCTCTGTTATTCAACTGTTTGATGTTCCATTTGGTATCTGTTTCATTTTTATGTATATTTCTTTTGTTTGTAACCGTTCCTGTGTGCTCTGTTAATAAATCGTTTTAAAGCTAGCCGGCATTAGTGTCTATTGAGAAACGGCTACATCACATTGTCTCTTTAAATATAATACAGTGCGATATTATCTGGAGCTCTAATTGAAAATCATATTATGGCGGTTCAGTAACAATTATTATATAGTGCACTTATTACATTTGCTTTCCGTTCTTATTCAGGTTTCCTATACATTAATAATTTTACACGATAAAGTACTTAAAAACTATAGTTCAGATCCTTTTCTCGAAATGTATACCTTCCTTTAAAGTACCTGCTCCTACCTTGATTATAATTAAAGATAATATTTCATCTCTAAAAATATAAACACATTATAAATGAATAACACAAAGTCGTTTGAGCTCAATGAATTATATCAGTTATGCGATAATTTTCAAAATTAATAAGCATCGCTTTTACAGATAGACAAGAAAAATTCGATTAAAGACACTGTTATGCTATGTGACGATCTCTTCACATAAAACTCAAACTGATTTTTGCACCATGTTATGATGCGTAAAACAAACAAACAACAACAACAAAAAAAATCTTAATGTATTACCCCCTTTTTATATTTGAAGCAAATTACTAAGTGGTATTCTGAAGAAAAGAGCTAATATACAGAATGCAGAATTCCACTTCGTACCTTTGGGATAAGCAAGCTTAGCATCCTTAGCAGATCCTCCGTCGCCACATTCTTCCTTGTCACGTGGTAGACATTTTTCCCCGCTGCCCACCACAACCTCCGTGTTGTTCTTAGGACTCATAAAGTCAGACATGGAGAGGGTCCTCAAAATCTGATGCTGTTCTGGGTCTGATATATAAAGATGACCATCTACCGGTCCCACCGTAAGATGATAGCTGTAGGAAACTTGAGCTGGGCTGAAATAGAAATGATTAGTGTAACAGGCTCACATTATGACACATGTTTGTTGTCCTAACTAATTCTTAGCTATAATCTGTGCCAGTTAAATATGTAAGCCGAAGGGCTTGCCACCCAGGGGGCTAATCTTAATTGGGCTATCTAAAGATATAAAAATTAATAAGTTATTTAAGTGGGGTTAAAATTATTATAAAGAAGACTGATTTGGATGTGCAAATGTCTTCGTCCAGTACAGGCCAGATTATACGTTTCGTGGTTAAGTATCAAAGTGCTGCTAAATACAATTCTTAGTAAGCATATAGTTTCAAAATCAAACACCAAGTAACTATAGTTAACGCAACTTTGGTCTTGAAAGCTGAAGGAAATAACAGAAAAGCGATTGTTACTAGCACATGATCACACTAAGAGAATGACTTGATTTTGGACGGTTGAACTTAATTAGCTATTTAACTTTTGCTTTTTCATTGGTAATGAGATCCAGAAATCAACCATCTTTTCTACTTGGAATTTCATTTTTGAATATCCGATGTTATCCGATACTTCAATTAACTGTTCTTTTTCATTCTATGACAATCTGTTCCGGTCAGGGTCCAATGGAAAGGATCAAAAATGAGTGAAAATAACCATTTGGAAAATAAATTTCGAATTGTGACCTCAGAGTTTCGAGATGCAAAGGTATATCATTGCATAATTCTTGATGATTGCGGCAAAGTTCACTAAGTCTATTTGCATAAGCAGAAGGATGCTTTCGTGGAGAGCTTTCTGAGAGAACCTGGCTCATATACACCTTATACATGGGAAAAAAAAACATGAAAACGCTCATGCAGCTACCCCGTAACCCAGGTAGGAACTACCAGTGTTCAGAGTTTTTACCGCTCGGCCGCTGATGGTCCATGTTCTTTTTTAAAGAAATCTAGGAGGACCACAAAGGCAGGCTTCGTAGACCACTTGTAGCTCGCTAAGCACAGACTGAGAAACGCTGTTCTAGCTCTCCTAGTATTTATGGGCTTGGGCCTGAAATTTGAAAATTTTCCGAATGTTATGAATAAGTAATATTTTCTTGACTATAATTTTAAAATGACCTTCTTACTTTATACTTATTTTCTTCAGATGTACATGCAGTTCGAAATCAGATAAATCACGAGATGGTACAAATTTTCATGTATAACGAACTGGAAAGATATTTTTCTATATGGAATTTTATGCCCATAAATCTTAGAGGGCTACACTTAGAAACGCTGTTCTAGAAAAAAGGTTGTTCTGTACTATTAAAAATGGGGCGCAGTAAATTCGCGTGTTTTATTTAGCTTTAAAAAACAAAATGCATCATTAATGTATTCACTGAGCACATTAATGTGTAGAGACATTAGGTATTTTTGAAAGCAGGAGAGATGAAAAATGAGCAATGCCCTCGAACCACGGACCTCTCGAATACGCGTCGAGTGTGCTCACCACTACACCAGAAAGGTATGCTAAAAAAGGGGGGAGAAATGCCTTATAAATGTGCACACTAGTAAGTTCTGTTTTGCTATTCTGAGTAAGTCGTCCTGTATTCTACTGTAACACTCACAAGTGACAGTCTCCTTGCTTTATTTTCGAAACCTGCATTGCTAATACACCATCGTTACGAAAATGTTCCCAGCATGAACCACGAGAAGGCAGAACACTTCTCAGTTATGATAATAAAAGGGAGATACAAGTTCATAATGATCCATCAACTATAATGAAGAGTGAATTTTACAATTTATTTCAATAAAGAGCTGTTATATAAGAAATTCAAATCTTGAGTTATCCTCTTTCGAGACCGTCCTCGGAAGTCAATATTATTTATAACTCAATATTTAATAAATCAGTATTTAGTTCATCTTTAAAGAAAGCCTAAAACGTCAAAATTGTTTAATCTTCAAACCATTTTAGCATCACATGCAATTTATTATTTCCTAAAAACAATTTATCATCGTTCTTTTTCCTATTTGTACATATTTTGACCATGAATTAAAAATATACCGCAATAATGAGATCTTAATATAACTATTAATAACAGCGGGGATGATGATATGGTAATAAATTTATAGCTCTCCTAAAAATCTCTATATAAGCATCTTAATAGAGATTTCTGAAAATCTCTATATAAGCATCGCAAAAATTTTCTAGAAAGTTTTATAATTTGACGATATTTTCTACATTATCTGAGTAACTAAATGAAACTGGAATACGGGCATATGACATTTTTAACTGATGATAATGTATGTTTTAATTATTCGTAACACAAGTGAATATTACATTCTTTTTCAATAAAAATTGCTTTCCTTTGTTGGAATACAGGAAGAACATAAAGAGGAAAATTTTTCTGCACATATGAAACACATTAAAGGTGCACGATTTACTCAAGTGCATTTTACCTTGTTTTTATCATCGATTTGTTTCTCGTTGAAACGAAGAGATGGCGCCACCATTCAGTCCACTGTGTATCTTCAAAAGAAACATGGGCAAGAATGATTAATTTTGTAACAGAAGCCACTCTGTTATTTACTTTTATTTTATTGATTTATTTTTACTATAAAAGTCTAGTTGCTATTTTCGGAATTCGCAATCTCCGATTTCTCCTTAAGAGAAAAGCCACGTGCGGAATCCTACAATGTCATATGTGCCTCAGGGCTTAATTTTATGGATCCGGCATCGCGCTTTAACACAATAGCTTCGGCTATAGATAGAATATCCATTCTATTTATCTGAATTCCCGACACCAGACAGTTCCATTCGCCCTGCAAGGAAGTATACTATAAATTCTGCTCCTTTTAGGAAGCGAAATGTTTGCATCATTCATTAAATATCTTTATTATAAGGGAGCTGAGAATTTGAAATTGCTATGTAAGGTAATTATGTAAGGCACCTCGGCTACTAATGAGTGAATACAACAAGATTAATAACAAAATAAAAATGATTAAATGATAATTAAATATATAGAAAACTTTTCTAAATCGAAGGAACTTGAATTAAATGCATTTTTTTCTTCCATCAGTTATCCTCTAATTGTTCACATGCGACTAAAAATAAAATCGTCGGGCTGCTAACAATGTGGAGTTCTTTTGGTAAAACGGAAGATGGCTGATATAGCCTTGGGCTTCATATTGTGAGAAGGATTAAGTGTCTGGGTAGTTCGGTCCAGGGCTCCCTCCCCTTAAGCAGATAGCCTTCGAGTTCTTTGTCATAATTAAATAAACCAAACCAATCTAGGAAAGCGGTTTTCAACCTTTTTGCCTTCGAGAACCCTTTGATAAGACTTAAAATTATAATAGTATTCTTAACCTACCCCTTCACAGCCTATGATTTTCCTCCCTCTTTAATATTCCCACAATATATCTTACAATTGTATTAATTTAATACAGATTTAAGGAATTGTAGTGAATGAGGTAAAAGCATAAAATCAATCTTTTTTCAGAGGATTATAATTTTGAGGCTGCTTTAAAGAAATTTTCATTGAAAAGATTCAAAATCCTGTGATCTTCCTCTCTTCCTTTGAGAAAGTTATATTTAAGTGACTCTTGCAATCTATTTAACCCCTTGATATACACTGACGAGTTGTCATTCATATCATGGGAGATGTCATTCATATCATGCGTCATTGTAGACTTTGACGTCTCCGGCGGACGCCGTGCAGTATATTATTATGTTCTTTAACTGCTGCAGTCGTGCCTTGACACTGTTCTGTATGTTGTCCCCTTCTCAGCAGACAAATATCTTGTTTTGTATGTTTTCAACCTCCTCTCTTATTTGTATATCAAGGGGTTAAGTAGGTTATCAAGTCCTCGTTACGAAGTGAAGATAATATTCTGGCATAAAGTAGTAAAGTGCCTCAAATCCACTACTCCGAATTTTTTCTGCATTAGATCCCCCAAATTAAAATTTTTGATTATAGTAATGTTACGCCATCCCCTCTGTTAAGAGCACGAGCGTTCTCTGCTTAACGGGAGGGGTGCCTTCGTTGAGGAACATTTTAAGAAAAGCTGGTTCGTATTCACATCACACATGGAGAAGACATCATTGTAGCCAGCACGCTCTTTTAGAACAGAACCCAGGTCGAACTAACCAGGTCGTATTCAGCAACTTTATCCCTCGGCCGCTAGTAGAGGGAATGTGTAAGGAATCAAGTAACATGGCAAATGTGGGCGGGACTATTTATTCTAATTATTTTGGTTTTGTTCACATATCAGTCAAGAACGGTCACATTGGAACTCCTTTTAGTTGTTTCCGTTTTATTTAAACTTCTTGAAAAGTTTCCCTTTTATCAGCATTTATTACACACTTTGCTGCTATCCGACACTACTGATTATGTTTTCTCGTACCCCTGATTAACATGACATCTAGATCCTGACTAAATAGATCCTGACTAAATAGATCTTGACATCGCGTATTTAAAGGAGTACGAGCACCACCGTTTAGGAACCAACGTTCAGAGAATACAGCAAATAGTTATCCTTGGACTGTGTTGTATTGCCCACTACAATTATTTAATATGTTGTTATGTGTTTTATTTACGTTATTAGCAAGGTACCTGTTACCCAAGATTTTTTGTGTCATTAACACGCCACACATTTTACATGACGTAATCAGTTTCAAAATACATTTGCACTGTAGCATGTAAGTAGCGTGTTTATTGGAAATAATTTAAATACATTTTCAATGCTACATTGACTGCAATCTTTACTTTCAATATTACTCTGCGGTTTTACAGAGAAAAGAAGTCAATTAAAGATTTACACCTTGCTAAAAAATAACCCTTCTTACAATTTATTTTCATGCAATAATACGTTGTACATACTGCTATGATTTTTACAAAGTTTTATAAGTTTCATTGACAAATATTTCATAGGTATCCTTTAAACTGCTTTACGTCGCAAAGACATCATAGACAGTCTCTGTGCTGCAAAGTGCATAAGTTTTAAAATGTTTACACAGTGCAAGAATGTTTACAAAATAGAATTTTAGAATTGTTTTAGAATGCTTACACACGGCCAGAGCGATACTCATTCTTTGTTACACTTTTTTTTTAATAAGAAGGTTATAACGCCTATTGCTGGATAATTGCTAAGGACAGACAACACTGTCACCCAAATCAATAACCAAAATGAAGGGAAGCAAAATATGGAAATTAGAATAAGTGAGGAATACAATAAGAAGATGTGTGTGCATGCAAATACTCCTTTCATCACTTATTCATCATGCAATAGCACTGAAAAAAGATTTAAAGGAATTGACATGTGCGGGCAGTTGTTTTACTAAGTGAAAGGTTTACGGGAAGAATTTAACTGACGATGCTGAAAATTTCGATGTGTCTTCCCGACATCCCTTTGATGATTTTACTTATGGCCGTTTCATTGGAGATCGAAGAAGGGCGAAAAATAAGAGATGTTGTCAGGAAGTTCATCCACCACAGCTTTACGGCTGCGGAAAACACTTAAACAACTGAAACGTGTAGCCAATGTTACATGGGAAGTTGTGTGAGATGTACGACGCCTGCAGGAGGCAAGTACATTGCCTTTTCGGCAAAACGAAACCAGCGCACAAAAGCTTTGAAGAAGCTAGTGAATGAAGTTTCTTGCTACCACAGAAAAGCGGATCTATCGATAAATTGTAGCCAGGTGCTTGGAAGAAGAGAACCATTTGTCCGCTGATCATTTGAGTCTGTTACATTGTCCAGACACCGTTTGCAACGATGTCACGAACATCGCAATGAGACTGGACAAGACTGGGCTTGTGTACTATTCTCAGATGAGAGTTAACTTCAGTCTGTCATGGGTTGTAGCTGCTAACTGTTCTGGTGTGAGAGTGGTACTGTTTATCGTCCAGAAAATATTCACCAAAGGGACCGGTATCATGTTGTGGGCCATGACCAATGGCCAGCATCATGACCAATGGCCGCACACTCCTACAAGTAGATGCAACTGGAATTATGAAAGGCCAACGATACATTCACAAAAGTTCTACTGCCTTTTACATGGTGCTTTCAGCTATATATTTCTTCTCATGGACGACAACGAGCTACGTCATCGAACACTTCCTATTCGGGACTGGCTAGACAACGAGAATATTCAGCTCCTCGCATGGCCAGCACTTCTTCCAGATCTAACCCCAGTTGAAAATATATTGGAGTGCAACGAAATTTCCATCATTTTAGTTTATACCAAACATTACTATTATTTATTGGTAATAAATAAAATTTATTAATTGATTCCCATGCATTACATATTACCGAATTTCTATCAAATAATGCAGAAAAAACTGTTCAACCCACCTTAGTTCAACTATTGTGGTAACCTGCCCGTCTGTTGTTATTTTCCGTATGAGGTTGAAGTCTCCAACATATATTGTACCATCCGGTCCACTGGTTAATGCCACGGGAGCTAGCAGTCGTTGAGATTTAGCCAAACCATTGCATCTCTGGCACTGAAGTGGTCTCTGTTGCCCGTCTCCCATTTTCGTCAGCAGCAACTTTGGTTTGTTTTTGAGATAAATGTTATTTCCATCCCCTTTCTGTAGGATACCTATGGATTACAAATCAATAAATCACAACTGCTATATTATTTAGAACTCCCAATTCACTTACCATGAATAATAAATGACATCTACGATAATGCACATATGAAAAGAAATCCATTAATATCTTTAAGGCATCATTACGTCCAGTCGACAATTAATTATCTTAGTGAAAATGATAGGTGACGTAGTTAGAAAAATTCTTAGAATGAGTTCAACGTGAATGTTAAGCTTTGTCTAAAGTTCTACTGTAATGGAATCCTTATTTTCAACAATAATGTAGGACTCTCCACTGTGTACCTTATGTTACAGTTGAATATGAAGTATCTTAAGAACTAGTAAGCGAATAATCCCTTGAGTTCGTGAGATAGAAAACAACAACTAAGAAAAGTGAAATAACCTTTTATTATTCCAACTAAAGTTGTTTAATAGAACTCCGTCTTGGAGTTGTACAATAAAGCTGACACTCAGGCTTCAACTTAAACTAAGAATTAAAACTTACCTAATCTTAAAAAGATATAGCCGAAGCTATCAAGATTTGAACGGAGTTGGCCCCTTGACGCTAACTGATTGCGAAGCTATTAAGTCCTAAAGTACGGCCGAGCGTAATAATAGCTTAAGAGAGAGAAGCCTAAAAAGGCGGTCGCGTGCTAACCAGAATCTCTGATTCTCTCTGACTAAGACAGTAGAACTTCGCGGTTGAATACCGCTCTTCCTCCATTTGCATTCAAACGTGATTCTAAAACTACGTTCTGGCCGGAAGTGGTAAGTTGAAATTAAGAAGCGATAGGAAAGGAAGTTTAACTCAAAATTTAACTGTTAATAAAATTAACATAACTCATACAATAAATATAGCTGTTATCTTTTATGGTATATCGTACAAACTGAGTTTACAACTAGAAAAAAAGCAGCTATAATAAGCTGCGCAGGGATTTCTTAGGTAAGGATCCTTTTGAAGAATGTGGCTTTAAGAAATTATTTTACATGATCTACAAAAGAGAGTTGAATAAGATCAGACAAAGGAAGGCTTTGCAATTCCATTACATTTTACAAGCTTGTTTGGTAAGATGTCATCCCTAAACTGTATATATTACTAAAATATCCATCGTTATTAATCCTTAAAACTGCATAACGACCTTGTAGATATGCTTTGCGTTGTACAACAACTAGTAATTGTAGTAACTTAGATAGTTGTAGAATTAGGTAAATGTAACTATCGTCTACGGCTCATAGTGCATTTGATAATTAGCTTGAGATACTTATTGCATGTTTTGAAAAATGATACTTTATAGCAGAGCTTTAGAAGCATCCATCGCTACCAAATTAATGAACACAAAATAAATTATTTCACAGGATGCACATTGGTATTTTTACCTCATTCCTTATTTAGTATGGCCCACCATCGGCCGAGCGATAAAGTCGTTGAACATTGGTAGTTCGGTCCGAGGTCTGAATCCCGCGATCGGGCTGGCTGCATGGGCGTTTTCCCACAAGCGAGCCAGTTTCCGTTAGAAAGTCCTTTACGAAAGCATCCCAACCCTTAGCCAGATAGTCCTCGAAGCCCGCAAGTCTTATTTAGTATATAAGTACTGAAAAAAAAAGCAGAAAGTGAAGTTTCGCTCAAATGCTCGTAACGCACATAAACATATCTTTTAGCGACATCTGATCAGCTTAAGGTCTTCCCTCAGATAAAGTCGCTTGGATAATGACAGTTCAAAAGTTTCACTTGCAAGGAGGTGATTCAATGTTATTATTAAAATCACCTTTCAACTTTATTAAAAAAAAAAAACTACGCAAATATACGTTTCTGTTTGCTGTTGAAAGGTTAATAGTGTTACGAATTTCGTGTATATGTACATAATTCTAGTGAAATTACATGTAAATTGTAGTATCTCTTACATAATAGGATATTACAGGCATCAGAATGCGAAACATCTTCGGAAATATAGGGTTACAGGGAGTTTAACACTGTATCAAATCTCCACTCAACATTGAGTTAACAATTTGGCGAGATAGCGCTAAGCTGGAGATGGTTTTGGTGACTAATTTTTGTCGCTAGATTTGGCAAGAAATCTTTATTGGTCGTTAAGCTTGGCAAACATTCGGCGGCATTTTGGTGCAATCTTTGTTACTGTAATTGATCCGGCCCTATGTAACTCCACCTCTGTAGGTGCTTTTGAGTGAAGTGTTCTGGAACTGTAAATTGTTTTTGGAGAAATAAATTTCACCAAGATCATCGGTTCTGTGTGTATTCAATCAATTAAGGAACCGTTAAAAGCACATAACAATAGGTAACCAAAGGAAAAAAAAACAAGCATTTTTATTTACATTTAAGCGAAAAAAGTGAGTTGTGAACGTCTTTAAAACGCTTATAAATATCATATGTCTACTTGAAGACTACTGCTTTTTTTAAAGTGGTTTTGTTTGATTATACATTTCCATTCGCTCTGATCAACACAATAATTAGTAATGCTGATTATAGCATTAGTCTCGAGTTTGAATCTCAGGAAAAAAAAACATGAATAAATGTGCATAAATGTATGGTATTGAAGAAAGCACTTGAGATGAAATTTTTGCCCGAAAATTTGGTAGTAGGAGAAGCAGAGAACTGCTACGTTATTTTCTTCCTTTACATTCGTACAGGGTTCGTAGATTTGGAGTGAATAACGACGACAGCACTTGATAGAATATCGAAACATACTTTATTGGCCGGTGTTAATCAGGACAGCTCCAAAAACACGTTTTACAGTCGTCGAAGATTTACTATAAACTCGCTGGAACAATCAGCGACACAGCCTTCGCACTGTCAGGCAATAACGGTGGAGACAGCTTCACTGCAAAGCACCAGAGTACAGCTCCCGACTCTGCTCAGTCGTTATCAGAACTCCACGTACTCTCGAGACTCTCCACGTTGCAACTCGCGATGCACTCGACGACACACTGAGCACAGCTCCCGGCTCAGTCGTTCCTGGAGTTTAACACACTCTCTCGACGATGCACTAACCGCGATACACTAAGAGACTCTTCGATGCACTCGACGACCAACTCGGCGCTAGACTTCGAGACACTCGCTCAATGACTGACTATCAGCTCGCTAGACGAGGCACACTAACTGACTGTGGACCAGCAGGGTTTATATAGCTTTCGGCTTGTGTTCGAGAATATTCTAAACCGGAAAGTATTCGTTCCAGAAGGCTTTCCATCCGTCCATGGGCTATCGCCAAATCAGCGATTTCTCGCCAAATTTGGCAACCCTGCCTTGACATTTTATAGCAACCCTAAAACTTGCTTTGCGTGGAAGCCATCTCACCGCGCCTTTACATTTCGTAACAGTACAGAACCTTTCATCCGGCCTTCAGGAGCTTTTCCATCGAAATTGGAATACATTAAATGTTGCACTGTCACTTATGACAGGCCAAAGACTACGCCCAGTGACAGGTACTTCTTTCTAGTCCACGATAAATTTGTGGTTTTGATTTGATTGAGGTTCAGAACAGGAAGATTAATAAAGCCATAACATGAATTGCATTCAACATTATCTCGAAAACCTTCTTGTTTGGCTACTTTCAAATTCATTTAAATGTATGTGAAGTTTCTACAGAAGTTTTCATCAGCAGTTTGCATCTAAAGGTTTCTCAGCAGCTAGGAAGAAACTATAAACAGGGCCTGCTTCAGAAGGCTAAGCACCCTAGAGGATTGCAAATTGCTCTCCCCCCGCATAAATTAGATATATTAATAACTAAAATCAAAATATATCATTATTTAATTTTCTTTCTGGACAGCACCTTAAATGGTGCCCTCCGAAAATCCCGAAGCGTAGGGGGCTGCCTACGTCGCCTGTGACTAGAGTTAGAAATTCATGTTTATCAACATCGCAATTGTAAGGTAAAAAAGCTAAATCCGGAACGTTTAGAAGCGAATGAAAAAAGACGTATAATTTAGCATCAGTATGAGCGCCATTATAAGTTAAGCACAAAAATTGCTTTTGTAAACAGAAAATTGATACTGTTCCGAAAGCTGCTTCACTTACATCGTTTGATTTCTAAAAGGCAATTAAGTCTGTAGAGACCTTAGGATATTTTTGGAAGCAAGAGATATTGAAAAATTAGCAACGCCTTCGCCGAGAATCGAACCACGGACCTCTGGAATACCGGCCCAGCGTGCAGAACCACTACACCACTACACCACAAGAGGTACACTAGGAAGGCGGGAGAAATACCTTAGAAGTCTCCCTTGGAATAAGATACGATGAATAAGTTAAGAGACTATAAAATTCTATTCTAATATGTCGTTCAGTGCCTCCATTCCCTCAGGTAAATGGTATCTAAACCCAGAGACTCGTTTTGAGTTGTAAAACTATATGCAGTGTTAAAGGCATTCTCTATTTCGCTTTTATAAGATCTCTTGTGACGTCGGAGTGAAAGGCAGACTATGTCATTTCCCTCCCATCAACACTTGATGCTCATATATTCTCCTCTAAACACGGTAGTCAAATTACATAAAACGACGGGCGACTGAACTTGTTGACTATACCCTTTTCCACGGATTGTGTTCGTACGCTTGAATCGAAACGGAGCTATGTATGGACCTATAACGTTCAATTGAATCCAAAGCATCTAAAATCAGGAGGGACCACTCAGACCAAAACAAATCGACCTCCCGAGCAAGCAGACACATTCATTAATTCACTGCATTAAACAACACAACCGGACAGACAATCTACAAGGAGTGCGGCCGCTTCATTGATTTCGAACTAATCTGCCCCGGATGTATCGTTTCCAACTGCTCACAGCAGCCTCCCGACAGGATGAGGTGAGGGGAAGTCGAGGATTATTACCTTTTGAATGACTGCCTCGCCACCTCCTTCGTCATCCTGACACACTCACGACTGGAACTGAAATCAATTCACTCCCCGTCACTTGTTCCTGCTTCTGCAACGGATATTTAAATTCGGAGACGAAGTAGGATTTTGAAGTTGATGAAAGGCTGTGATTAGAAAATGCAGTTT